GAACCTCTTACTTATTATCTTATTAATTTGTCACGAATGATATTAAATTTAATGGAACACAATTTTTATACTCTTGTAGAGGGTATTATAATTTTGTCGTGAAATGTGTAACGCTTAGAATCTTGATCAGCATCAACAGCCGAGTCGACATAGCTATGTCCGTCTGTCTGTTTCTATGCGAACTAGTCTCTCAGTTTTAAAGCTATCTTCATGAAACTTTGCAGAAAACCCTCGTTCTGTTGCACGCAGCACATGTGTCAAAACCTGGATCGGACCACTATATCATATAGCTGCCATAAGAACGATCGGTCGAAAATTAAGTTGTTGTATGGAAAACTTTTTGTCATTCAAAATATTTTAATTAAACACGGCATTTAAAGATTTCACTATGCTCCCTTCATTTTTGCAAAATCTTATTTACATCGGACTACTATATCATATATCTGCCATAGGAACGATCGGTCGAAAACTAGGTTTTTGATTAAAAACCTTTTTTTATTATCAAGATATCTTGCCCAAACTTGGCATTAACTATTTTCCCTACGCTTCTTAGATACGGGCAAAGCACTATAAGCATTATGAAAAGGTTGGGTCTGCTAGGGTATTAGATCTTCGGCGTGCCGAAGATAGCTTTTCTTTCTCGTTATTTTTTTTTGTCAACTTATTTTGGAGAGTAGCAAACGTGTGGCATGAGCTGGTGGCTTACGTTTCTAAGCGTCGGACTAGCAAGCGGCAGGACGCCGGTTCAAATTTAGCAGAAAATGTCATAGGCGAATTCAAAGACGTGTATTGATAGATTGTATATTAGATTATTCATATATGTGGGGCAATTCCGGGTTATATACTCTGATATACCTATATTTTACTTAATTTTTCAGCTAAGGTTTTTGGCTACAGATTTAGATCTCACTTTTGTCCTTTCAATTCAAGCAACAATTCTTTTTTCTTTAAGTTAAAGTTTGAGAGTCACTATTACAGTTTAAGAATCATTAAGTGTACAAAAGCAGTCCTTTGATCATTTTAATAGGTTCTGCATTTTGCTTTTTGTATTCAATCAAAAATAAAGTCACAGTCCAGTTATTTAAAAAATCTGAATTGAATTGGAATTCATTTTGTTTTTTTTTTTTTTTTTAAATATGTTTCCAAAAAATGTGTTTTCTGTCCCAAATTGATACAAGTGCTTATTTTTGACATTTTCCAAGAATTTGCAAGTCTATTTTTTTTTTTTTATTTAAGCCCATTTAGAATTTGACGGTTTCCCAATGGAATCAATTTGCACAATCCAAAGTTCGGAGGGTGTTGAATGGTGGTTGTGGGGGAGTGGGGAGGGGGGTGTACTTATTGTCAAGTGTAGGGAAATTAAGTATGTAAGCGTCATCGAGGAAGGGCGGAGGGGCCTGACATGTTCTGAGTGTGTCTGTTAGATGGTTTTATTGGCATACATGATCCCGACTTAAGTGCCCAAGGGATTTAGGTGGTTAATTTTAGTATGAGAAGAGCCCCCAGCGTATGTGTGTGTGTATGGATGTATCTAACGTTTATAAAATGCTTTTAGTAATAAAGTCATTGCGAATGCTGCATGACGAGGCTGAAAGTCATTTCATGCCACAATCTCAGACTTTGTCTCGATTCTCCAATCAAGGCTCAAACTCAATCTTGGAGCCAGCCGCAGGCTACGTCTGGCAGCGAGTCATCGAGTCGCTTTTGCCGCTTGGTCGAGCCTCATTACGCAAGTTTGTGCCACCAATTGGGGCAAGTGCTTGGTTGGCGAGCGGCCGTCATTTTATCTTTTTATATTTTACTCTGCGCACAATTTGCGTGTGTTGCGTGTGTGTATGTGTGCGTGTGTGTGTGTGTGACTTTTTATAACTTTTTATACATTTTTAATTTGTTGCCTGGGCTCTTTTTTGTTGCTCAGAGATTAAGCAAATTTTCGTAGCACACTTTAAGGCTGCGGCGACTGCTATTCTCGCCCGCCCGTCCAATATGATATTTCACCTAATATTGTCGCTTTATTATTTTGTTTTTCTTTTTGCGCCGTGCGCGTCTCCTTCGCGTAATTCACTTGTTTTATTGCAGTTTCGCTTCCCTCTTGCTTTTTTCTTACGCTGTTTTGATTTGTGCCTGCCACGCCCCCCGCCTCGTCCACAAAATATTCATGTTTCGCTTTTATATGCCTTGAACTCGCACAGCTTGACAGCTGTTTGGTCCTTAGCTTGTTTGCAGTTAATGAGTTGAGGCAGTCCATGTACTGTGGGCCGCATACCTCAAATTAAAGGATAATAATTTATTATACAAACGCTCTGTTTAGGAGGAATTAATGTATTTAAAGTACAAAGCATACATTTAAATAAATTCTTATAACTATGTTAAGTCAACATATTTAAAAAAATACTTCGTATTTTATAAACTAAATAAAATAGTTTATATAATAAGAATTTATTTCAATTTAAAATATATTCAAATTCAAAGTCATTTAAATGGCGGGAATTCTAAAGGAAATATATTCTATATATATAAATACACTTAAAGACAACAGAAAAAGCCAGTAAATAATTGAATTATAACTATTTATATTTGCAAATAGACTTATTTTCGCTTACATAAAATTAAATTAAATTATCTTTTGGTCAAATTAATTATTAAATTAAAAACTTGTGATTTCTATAAATAAATATTCAACTTAATTATTAGGTTTTGGCATATCCATCAACTTTTGGTCCTCTTGTACAGTTTTTGTGGTCTGCATAATTGTGTGGCTTTTGGGCAATTTGATTATCATAAAAAGAAAAATAATTATTATGATCAAGTTGTTGCAGTGCATCATTAGATCAGGCAATTAAAAAGTTTTTGTATGAAATCGCTTTATCTTTATTGCACGTACACGTCGCATAAACATAAAACATGATAACATGGCGCACAAACAGACACACATATAAACACACACACACACTCGCACACACACAAACACACTCAAGCTGCGGCTCGTTAAATGCCGCCATCGGGATTTGCATTTGCTCGCAACACTTCGTACTGCGCATTCCCCCGCCTGTTGATTGGATAGTTGGGTTAAGAGTTCTGTCTTATAAGTGCCCAATAGCTGGCAAGCTCTCCGACAGTTGCGCTTTCCGCAGGGCATAACTTAATTAACGAGCAATAACTTCATCTGGGCTCGAGATCCAACTAAATATTACGCATACGCCGCGTGCAACGTAGCAAAAGTTTTTTCCAGTCTTACAAACTTTGAAACATGTAATTTGCGAATTTGTGAATTTCTGAGTTTTGCACTCGGCTGCATATTAATAATTGCACTCAATATTAATTAAATTGAAGGAATCACAGTGCATCTTGTGCACAGAGTGTATCAGGTATCTTTTTATATGTGGCACGACACAGTTTTACCTCGCCATCTGTAGCCAAAATTATTCGTTGCGAAATTTATGGCATCAATTTGGCAAATTTACGCGCAGCCCACAGGACAGGTAGCCAACAAGTGTCATAGGTGCATAAATTATTACCAATTTCCTATTTATTATTCAAATTCTTTTGGCTTAATACCAAGCATGCGTGGGTGCGAGTGTTCGAAAAAAAGGTTAACTGAGTTGCAAATTGTTAAAATATTTCAATATTTTGTACTGTCTTCGGAGTGAATTACAGATTTATGAATACACCGTAGAGCCAAAAAAAAAATAAATAAAATGAGAAAAATGTATTTAATAATCAAAACTAAATTTTATTAAATTTACTATATATTTTAACAAATTTTTGTTTGACTTTCGTTAAAGACTTGTCCATGTCCAAAGCGCGCTAGAAGCACAAAAAGCGGATAATTTATAAAATTGGCCCAATAATTAGCAAGTATTTGTTTAGAGTGTTAATGATATAATTGAGGCATTCGCCAAAGTAAATAACTTTAATTAGATCAGATACAAAAGCAAATATAATTTAAGGGTGCGTCTACTGCTCGTCTGCTGCGTGGTTCGAGAGCAGCTTTTAATTTCTATGATTATATAATGGCTAACAGGCAATACCTCTCCCGCACTTCCTCTGACCGTGGAAAAGCCCAGCCTAGCTCTTTGCGACTTGCACAATAAACTTCTGAAAAAGTTGTTTATACCCTTGCAGAAGGTATTATAATTTAATCGTGAAATGTGTAACTCATAGAAGGAGACATTTCCGACCCCATAAGGTATATATATTATTGATCAGTATCAACAGCCGAGTCGATATAACCATGTCCGTCTTACCGTTTGCCTGTTTCTATGCGAACTACTCTCTCAGTTTTAAAACTATCTTCATGAAATTTTGCAATCCCTCTTTCTGTTACATGCATCACATATGTATAAACCAGCTGGATCGGACCACTATGCCATAGGAACCATCGGTCGAAAATTAAGTTGTATGAAAAACATTTTTGTTTATCAAGATATCTGACCAAGCTCGAGATTAACTATTTTCCCTGTGCTTTTTAGATACAAGCAAAGCATTATGAAAAGGTTGGGTCTGCAAGGGTATTAGATCTTCAGCGTGCCTAAGATAGTCTTTTATTTCTCCTTTCTTTTTCAATTGAAATGGGCTTTTTATGATGTCCGTTCACATGGGCGTGTTTCTGTCGGCCGTGCCCATCTAAATTATGCAAATCAATACAAACTCCACTTGCTTTTCCTACTTGAAGGTAATTAGCTAATTAATTTCGAAATTGTTTTAATATGCAGACTGTGCCTAAGCGTGATGAATGCCACTTGATAGCGGCGGGCGGTTGGGTGGTGCAACCTCTTAAACTTGTCGAGATTAATTTATTGAACTGTATGCGCTGAATTTAATCGCTTTAATTGTTGCTGGGCCTATTAGATAAATGGGCTCAGGTCATTTGAAATATGTAAGCAGCTTAAGCAGCTGACTGAAAACAAAACACAAACACATTAATTTGTAGCTGACAATGCGTTTTTCTCTACAATTCTCACTCGCCCTCTGTCTCTCGCTATCTCTTTCTTTCTCAGCAGAACGAGGATTGGAGGCGGCAACGGCCACATCGTCAATATTAAGGAGCGACAGAATAAATGACGGCACATTTCATGGAAGTCAATCAAAGAGAGAGGCGACATTCGCAAAATCGGTGCCATCAATTCCGGCGACAACGCAAATTGCCAAAGCAAATGACGAGCAAACAGCAACAGCAACAACTACAAAAACAACTATGCAGACAAATGCAAGTTTGTCTATTGCAGCAGCAACTGCATTGCCCAACCACAGCAACATTAATAACATAAGCAACAATGAGGCTCGACATGGGCAGGGGACAAGCGGATACACAATGGCCACATCCGTACCGGTGGTGACGGCCGCGCTGCAAGCAAATCTTATTATGAGCAATAGAAATGTGGAGGAGCAGGAGCCATTGGAGCACAAGCACAAAATTACGCAGTACAACGCATTGTTGCCAGCCAACAAGGGCAACAGCTCCACGGCAACAGTGGAGGCAGCCACAGCAGCAGCAGCAACAACGGAGGAGTCAACAACAACGACAACAACGACAACACGTCGACCAACACCGAGCACTACGCTGAAGCCACCGCCAACAATAGATGATTACCAGACAATAATTAGCCAAGCGGGAACCCATGCCTACCTGCCCTGCAATGTAAGTGAAACTCAATTCAAGCTCCGAACTCCCTTTAATTAACAGTCCATAATGCGCCCAAAATGAGGTACCCAATCAAAGGGGCTAGAGGCTGGTTTTCTGTTTGCCGATAAGACTAATTGGTCAACTGCACAAAAGTCCAACTGAGCGAGAAAAGCCGCCACTCGAGCATTCGTACACACTCGCACACACTCACACTTCTCCGAAGAATTTGCAAATGGAGACGAGGCCTCAACACGCTTCAGTTAATGTCATAATTATATTGGGCTTTGCTTGAACGCATTAAGCAACTAGCGAATGTGCGCATGGATTAGAGCATTTTAAATTTATTAAAATAATTTAATTGCAAAGCCAAAAATGCCAAGGTTAGGCGCTTAGTCCAGTTTTTAAACAGCGTTAATGTTGTTATGGCTAAGCCTATTATCATTTTTAATTATTAATCTGAATCTTGGTATAAATACTTGACTATTTTATTTTCTTGCAAAAACTTGCAATATGAAAATAAATTAAATTGAAACAAAATTTGAGCTTTTAAATTTAAAAAAGTGAGTTCCCAAATATTATTAACTTTTTATACCCTGAACCCATTATATTGTATTTGTGCGAAAGCCAAATGTATGTAACAGGCAGAAGGAAGCATCTCCGACCCCATAATGTATATACATATATTCTTGATCAGCACCAATAGCCGAGTCAATCTAGCCATGTCCGTCTGTCCGTCCGTCCGTCCGTCCGTATGTATGAACGCAAGGATCTCAGAACCTATAAAAGCTAGAGACTTGAAATTGCTCCTAGTTCCCGCGCAGATCGAGTTTGTTTCCGATAATCGACAACTTACTCAGTTTCCAAGCATTCGATAAAAATCGATATCGATATCCTGTTTTTGGGCAATTTTGGTAAATAATAAAAGCTAGAGTCACCAAACTTGACATATAGCTTCTAAAATAGAATATATATATATTCATTAGATGTTGGAAGAAGAGGGTTCAGGGTATCGCCTAGTCGGGAGCTCCCGACTAGAACCTCTTACTTGTTATTTTATTTCATTTGTATTATTACCATATATAAAATTTTTTATTTTTATTCTATCTTGTATTTTTTAAAGAGAATCTTCTTCTTGTCAGAGCTAACAAAAATGGGGATTTTTAAATTTACCATATAAAATACCCCTTCAAGTTAACCAAATCCTCTTCAATCCGTTACATGGGCAAAACTGAACGAATTTGATTGATATGGACCTGCCTGTTCGTGGTTTGAGCTTTTGATTGATTCGGCTTAGTATTTAATAGATTTAAAAATGTTGGGCCCTCCAAATATAATGAAACACCTTTTCAGCGAGCTTAAGTACTTCGAGAAGTGCACATCCCTTGAAAGTTGAGAGCTTACAGTACTTATGATTATTTAGCTGGTTTTTCTTTTAATAACCTTCCCTTTTTTTGTTGCGATTGTCAATGACTTGCATAAAGCGGATGCTTATGCCAAATAATGCCTGAACACTGGCACAGTATTAAGTTGTTGACCGAACCGCGGAGCTGAAGAGGGCAAAATGAAAAGTTGATTGATTTTTGCTCAAATCCAATCAAGCGCTCGCTCCTCGCGCTGTTTATTTTCAACGCAGGTTTTTTTTATTTTTTATTTTTGCATAATAATAACTGAAACATGTAAGAGGTTCTAGTCGGGAACTCCCGACTAGGGGATACCCTGAACCCTCTTCTTCCAACATCAAATGCATATATATATATTCTATTTTAGAAGCTATATGTCAAGTTTGCTGACTCTACCTCTTTTGTTTACCAAAATTGCCCAAAAAACAGGATATCGATATCGATTTTAATCGATTGCTTGGAAACGGAGTAAGTTATCGATTATCGGAAACAAACTCGATCTGCGCGGGAGTTAGGAGCATCTACATCTAAAATTTCAAGTCTCTAGCTCTTATAGGCTCTGGGATCGTTGCGTTCATACATACGGACGGACGGACGGACAGACAGAAGGGCATGGCTAGATCGACTCGGCTATTGATGATGATCAAGAATATATATACTTTGAGGGGTCGGAGATGCTTCCTTCTGCCTGTTACATACATTTGGATTTTGCACAAATACGATATACCCTCATACCCATCTTTAATGGGTTCAGGGTATAAAAATATTGACAAAGCATTTTATGTGTTCTTTTCTTTTTTTCACTTTTTTTTTTTTAATAATCATTGATAATTTATAAAAAGCATCTGATTATGCGGAGTTCTCTTGCTCAATCGGTTCGCTGCGGTCACCCAACGCGGGCTGTGGAACGCGGGGGGATTCGCGGAAGTGGCGATTGCTGCTTAAGTGTGGGTGCGGGGGTAGGGGTTCAACTTTGCTTCGCTTTGAACTAATTTACGTTGGCGCTGTCGGAACTGAAAGAAAACAAACCGGAAATTGCTGCTGCCACGCCCTAAGCCCCCAGCTCCCCGATCCTTCCTGCTCCATGCTACCCACTTCCCAGTCCAATTTATAGCCAAAGGCAACGCCATTTTCGCAGCTGACCCAAATATTCCAAGCCTGGCCCCAGTGCACACCACACACACACACACACGCACAGTGTCTTGGGCGTGGCAGCAGCTCGCACGCGCCCTTGTGTGTGTGTGTGTGTGTGTGTGTGGCAGTCGAAGTCCATCCGCTAATAACTTTGTTACTGCAGCCTCGCTTCCTTGGCCCAGTGCCTGGCACGCAGCACACAAGCTTTGAATGATGATAGTCACTTTAATGATCATTATAATTACATAAGCATAATCATGATTGTCATTATAATTGGCGCAGACGCCGCTCTGTTTATAGAGCAAATTATTTTGAGTTCTTCGCTTGCCATTTGCTAAAAAAACTAAAAGATACAAAAGTACCTTAACTGGCGTCGGTAGCTGCTTAAAAAACAAACGAACACTTTTCTGTTTTCACTCCTTCGTGTTTATTGAAATGAACTCTTCCGTAACAGCAACAATAATAGCTTCCAACTCGTACTGAAGTTTCTGTTAAAAATAGGAATGACAAAAAAGAAACAGCTGAAAATGTTCATTATTTAAAAAGTGAAAGTTTACTTAACTTTTTGCATGGTATTTATTTCATTGTGATTTATTTTATGTATGCACGTTAACAATTCTTTTAATTTCTTATCTTTCCATATATATGAAGACGGAGGTTTTTTTTTATATTTATATTAATTGTATCCCGAACCCATTATAAACGGATAAAAAGGGTGTATTTGTGCAAATGTATGTATTAGGCAGAAGAAAGTATCTCCGATCAGCATCAATAGCCGAGTAGATCTGGCCATATCCGTATGTTTGTCCGACCGTCTGTCCGTCGATCTCAGAACCTATAATACCGCGCAATACGAGTTTGTTTCCGATAATCGATGTGTTCTCCTGTTTTCAAGCAATCGATAAGAATCGAAGCACGTCTCTAAGGTTTTATGATCTACATATGCTGGATAATATATAAAAATCAAGTATCATTTATTTTATAACTACTACCGCGTCCCTCTCCCAACTAGCGCGAGTCGTATTTTGTGTTGGTAGAAAAAGGTTAGGATATCCCCTAGTCGATCCCTGCCGACAGGAGCCTTACTTACTTATTTTCTCTTTAAAAATGTACCTCTTACAATTTATAAATTTTTGAAATCATTTAGAGGAATTATTTGCGATTGCACAGCAAAAATCCAATAAATATGTCAATAGATAAATGGTACCGAGCATGATCTGAATTTTCTTATATAGTGAAACAAAACACTATAAAATAAATAACAGAATTAGTTATCTCTCATAAAAAAAGTATATGTCAACTACTTGTGAATCTTAAACAAACTTAAAGAAGATTCCTATAAAATAAAACTTGTATATCTTTAAGTCTCCGACACATTTTAATAATACGGAATGCTCAAGCAATAAATAAATGAAACGTTTTGTACTGCCTGTGGAATAAAGGGCCCTACCGAATCTTTGGCCTTCCAAGCAGCACATCAGATATTCAAATTTCCTTGGGGCTAAGCAGCGCGTAGGCAAACACATCACTTAAGACTGATTATCCGATAAAGTAGGAGGGAGAAAAGGCAACATATATTTTGTATTTGAAGCCAATAATATGTTTGCGCTTGCAATCTATAAATCTGCTTAAACCAAATCAATTAATAAAAAATTTGAAGCCGCAGGCGTTCCATAGAGCGTATATCGAGACAATGGCAAAAAAAAGCTTTGCCTGCAAGCACTTGATTTTTTTTTTTGAAGCTATTTTACCCCAGTCCTCTACCTGCCTCATTTTGGCTTATTTTGCAAAGTCTGCGAAAAGTTTTCGTTAAGCAGATGTGAAGAAAAGGAAAGCAACAAACAAAATGTTAAAGGAATGTTATCCATGGAGTTGTCGAGGCTGGCGCTCTTTGAGGTGTATTGTTGTGTGAAAGAATTGGCCAAATAAAAGAAAGAAATTATTTGCAAACAACTTTAGACAGAATTCGCAAATGTATGGGCAAACTTTGTTGTCTGCGTGCCTTTGGATTTTCAAAAATCGCTGCTGACGACAGCAAATGAAAAAGTAAAACGAACATAAAAGCCAAGAGCCAAAAACATGAATACAACTATGGCCATGCCGATGGGTCTGGTTTGGCTTTGGATATAATATGATATGGGTGCAGTCGGCCAGTCAAGTTTGCCAAACTATAAGTGCCACTTGCCGGGTTTATAGACCGTTTCCAGCTGCTTGACTTTAATGCAATGCTAATATTGGACCAAGATTTTGAGAGTGGGAAAGTGAGAGAGTGTTTATATTAAATGCAACTAATTAAAAATATTTAAATTGCCAAGACACACACAGACAGAGATGGGACCGATGCGAGGCATCTTGATAAATTCGATGCCAAAATACGGTCATTAATTTTTTAGCAAATTAAGCACAATCTACACGAACCCAGCCGCATAATGCGCCATCCATAAGCGAGGGATTTAAATTAGCTAACGCCAAGTGGTGCTCCAGCTCGGGCACAACCTGAGCCCCAAGCCACATGAATATTTGTCAGCTAGCCAGCCAGCCAGTCCGCAGGAGCTTGGAAGGAGGTGCCACAAAGAGAGCCTTGTGTACTTACACTTGCCACGTACTCCAAAAAGCAGCTGAAGGAGTTCCCTAGCAGTTGCTCCAGTTACAACCGCCTACTCCCCGCCTGTGCGCCTCTGCACGTGCCTAGGAGATGCTTGGCTGGCTTCCCAGCTGTCTCTCAGCTCGGGCAAGTGGATAAGCATCTTCACTTAATACGCTGAGTATAATGTCGATGCTCCGCCAGATGATAATCATCCTTTGTGCGATACTCACGATTTCACTGCCTTTCGCAAAATTTAATAAAGTCGCCGCGCCGCACCCTGTAGAATGGTTTATTTATAGCTGTATAATTTACAGTTTGCAGAAAATGAAAGAGAAGGGAGACTTTTATATATTTGATATAGAAATCACACTAATGAACATTTTTGTTTAGCTTTTTAAGTAAAAAGAAAGCTTTCTATGTTTAATATTTGAAATCATGCGTGTCCTGGCGGTGGCCTTAAATATTCTGTCATTTTTATCGCAAAACATAATTTTCCTTAATCTATAATCATTTTGTTCGGCAAAGGTTATAAATTACCTAAAATCATGTTCTCCATTCCTATGCCAAGCAGCACTCGCGATTAAACTTGACACAACGTAAAAATTCAAAAAAAAAAAATGAAAAAAAAAGGAAAATTTTATAAAAAGCTCGCCAGTTATAATAAAGCGTATATCGCATAGGCGAATTAGTAATTTGGGCTTGTGCAGATTAATCCCTGATTTTGGGTACTAAGCCCCATGGTGTTTACATAGCCATAATAGGTGAGGTGGTTGTGGGTGTATGTGTTTGTGTATGTAGTTAATTCTGGTACGGCATATTCATATAGTTTTGACAGCACGTACAACAGCCAGCAACAACAACAAGCTGTGAGGAGGTGGCCCAAGGAACTACCAGCAATTATGGCCAAGTCAGACAGACAGGCGGGCAGCTTTCTGCTTGGGATGAGGTGAAGGGGCGTGGGGGGCTGTGTGAGGGGTCGCCTTTTGTGTGCGTGCCTCAGACACTTTTAGTTGCGTGGCGAGTGCGACAGGGCGGCAACCACAATGAAAAACAACAAGCACATAAAACACAAATGATTATAGTATCTAATCATGATGTCGTTCAACGGACCGCCCTCCCACCCCGCACCAGTCACCCGCCCTGAGCAACTACTTCACGTCGCCGGCGCCGTAGCTGACGCGGACAATGTGGTTGATGACAGCAGTTCAAAGACAATCATTTGCCACTGACACTGGCACAGCCTCACCCACAGACACAGTCACAGCCGGAACCAGAGCCGGAGCCAGGGCCAGGACCAGAGCGAGACGGTTCGCAATCGCCATTTTAGTCAGCTGCGTAGCCCCTACGACCCCTCCGCATGCATTACAGTAGGGTATATGTCACACTGACTCACACTGCGAGCAAAGTGTGTGCGTGGAATTTTAAGTGAATCACAGTTTAGAGTGGATAAGAAGATAATTTAAAAATATATACGTATCATATTACAGTTTTTCTTTAAAAAAATGTCAAATTATATATCTAGTAGCTGCGATTTACTACTGGGCGACAGCCAGGTGAAATTTAAATATAATGTTAGGACATCGATTTAACATAATATCTAAAAATGTAATATTACAAATTTATATTAAAGGAAAATCAACCAATTCGTTTTCATCTTTGAATTAATTTCAAGAAAAATGTATAACATACTTTTTTGAGTTTAATCAAGAGGGGAATTTAGAATTATGTTGAATAATGTCTGAGAAAAATTAATGCTTTAATTATGGATTATTTTAAAGCTGAGAAAAAATTTAGCCTACTTTATAACTACCTTGAAATACATTTCTTGAGCTTCCAGGTCCAAATCCAGATCAAAGCCCAAGTCCAAGTGCAAGTCGAAGTACTAGTGTATCTCCATTGTTCTTATGCAGAGCATGTTTTGACTTCGGAGCTGTTTACTTTTCTTAAAACAATTCTTTAAAATGTCAAAATTTGGAGTTATTTAATCAATGACAATCGCAACGACAATTCCAACAAGTTCCTCAGCTGTCAGAAGCAATACAAGCATAAACGAAAAACTTTCCCAAAACATGCCCAAGAAGAAGGGAAACTAGTCAGAAAAATTGTGCCAAGTGTAATTACGATGAGCTCTTTCATACAACGGCTTTCACATGCTGTACAAGTGGTACACCGAGCAACATAAATAAAATGTATTTATACACACACACTGCCTCACACATTCAATAAAAAGTCTTTCAGTTTCCGTCTCGAACTATATTATTTTCTTCACGTGCGGCTTGGTTGGGGCTCGGTCTAGTCCTGGGTCTCAGTCTGGGTCTGGAGCCTTGTAAATTGCTTCTAAATTATTATTGTCATTATTGACAGAAATGAATCGTCGTTTTGTTGTCATTATTGTTTACCGTTACATTGTGCCCCAATAGCGTTTTTGTCCCGTTGTTGTAGGCGCCAAAGTTTTCTTAAAGCAAAAGTTTCGCTGACATCATTCAGTTAGTCAGCTGGGGATTTGCCTTGGGGCTTCCAGAGCTCAAGCTCCCAATTGAATTGAGTTTAAAATATGAAACCAATATTGACAGATTGATTTCAATTATTGCCTAATTCGAAATTAATTTTGTTTTTTTTTATTATAATCTTGCATTCTCGCCCGCAGGTCAAGCAGCTGGTAAAGAAGCCCATCTCTTGGCTCCGCATGCGGGATGGGCACATCCTCACCGTGGATCAGACCACCTTCATAGCGGATCAACGCTTTCAGTCGGTATTCTCCCCGAACCCTGAGCGCTGGTCTCTGCAGATCAAATATGTGCAACTCAAGGATGAGGGCACCTACGAGTGTCAGGTGTCCACGGAGCCCAAGGCCAGTGCGATTGTACACTTGCGGATTGTGGGTGAGTAAGAGAAATAAAAAGCAGTTTAAAAATTATCCAACAATAGTGGTAGTCCCTCTCTAACAATTAAACATAAATGCTCCTGATAAAATTGAACAATATTTCATAAAAATGTTTTCCGTAAAGAGAAATTGAAATTAAATTTTGCTTGCACTTAAATAAAAACATATAAAAAACTCGAGAAGTCGCACTCCAATTAAATAAAATGAAAAATATGTTCAGAGGTACTTCAATTGGTTTTTAATAAAGCCACTCACAAAATACACAACTTTAATTGAGGGTTCTTCTTAAAAAGGAAAATAAATATTTATACTGGAAATCCATTTATATAAATGCAGGTATTTTTTTTTTAACGATATAACTTAATTAATTTAAATTATTTTTGTAAAAATATAACTGTTTCTCTTAACTTTATTCATTTCTGCATTTACTAAAAGCAAAATTGCTCTTAATATGTTGCCCTATAGAAATGCACGCAGGCATTCTAATAACATATTCATGAAATTTCTTTAAAAATGCATTCTGTAAAATTTCTGTTAGCATCAGCAGATTTAAAGTCTCCACCTCGTAACATCTCAGCCTGTTATTAAGGTGTTCCAGGGACAATCAATGAAACCCAGACCGAAATCCAATGCATTCCACGCCCCAAACCCAAACATAAATCACAGAGCAGGCCCATAAATCTGTGGCACACAGATATTACACAGACTGTGAGCGACTCTCTAAATGAGTGTGTGGATGTGTGCTCTGTCTATTTCCTTCTCTCTTACTCTCTTGCAGAACCTAAAACGGAATTAATTGGCGAGTCCACGCGTCACGTGAAGGCCGGAAGTCAAGTGAAACTACGATGCATAATTAGCCAGGCACTGGAGCCGCCACTTTTCATTAATTGGTTTTACAATCAGAAGCAAATCTATTTGCATAATCGTCGCGGCTGGCGAACGGAAATTGAGCGCATCGATCTGCCAACGGAAGTGCCAACGATGCCGACAGCGGCAACAGCGGTAACGTCACCGTCAACGTCTACATCGACGTCAACGTCGACGTCGACATCGGCTGCAGCAGATACCCTAAATGATATAGCGGCCATAACACGTTCGTACATTCTAGACGCGATAACGGTGAGCGATGTGGCTGTCATCGCCGGATATGGTTACGTGCTGCCAACTATAGCTACGGCCACGCCTACAACATCCACAATGTCAACGACGACAGCTGCAGCCGTTGCATTTGCAGCAGGCGTTGCCACTGAAGCAGGCGCCCGGTTAGCAACAGCACCTGATGCGCTGACAACAACAGCAGCAGCAGCAGCCATGACAACCGCAACAGCAACAACTACGACCGAGCCAAGCACAACAACAACATCGACGACAACTATAGCGGCAACTACAACAACAACAACAACAACAACAATGCTGCCAAGCAGCAGTTTCATTAAGCAGATAACGGTAAGTGGCTTACCGCACGTGTGGGCGTGTCCCTTATCATTATCATACACCTCGCCCACCCAACTGCCCCTCTGCTTCCCAATCCACTTGGAGAAAAAACCAAGTAACTTGATTCGAATGCAAAAGTTATGATAGTCACCTTTGAAAATCTCATTAGCAAAATGTTTTATTTTAATCTGAGTAATTTTCTACTTTCTTTAAGAGCGCTTTATGGTAACTTCAAGCACGCAAATTCTTGTTCCAATTCTTTTGCTTTTGAACCAAGCCTTTTCTATCACTTCTCTAACATCAACTTTAAATTATTAAATTAAAAATGCTTTAAACATAGTTTAATAGAATTTTAATCACTTTAAGTATTTTATTTACTGGATTTTCTTGTAGTGCATTTTCATTAAACGCGTTTTCATTACGCAAATTGCCACGCAAAATGCGCGCTGGCATTTTGCATTCAATTATCCAACACTGTCGAAAATTGTCAACGTCGTAAAATTATAATTTTAATATATAATATGAGTGTGTGCATATTTTGTATTTTAATTTTTCCCATCTTCACATTGGCCGTGAGCGCGGCACCCGTAGTTGCCTGCTGTGCGGCATCCCGTGGCACATACACGTTCCCCGTGCCCGGCGCCCCGTACCTCGTGCGCCAACGAGTCTGTCAGCTGTCTCGCCAGCTCAAGTATCGCATTTCTATATATTTACGAGCTGTTTTTCTCTCTTTTTTAACATTTTGTTTTCGTTTTCCCGCAGACCGCGTCGCTTATCATACCCGCCGTGGTGAAGCTGGACTCTGGCAACTATACGTGCAGCCCCTCGAACAGTGCCCCGCGCACCATTGTGCTGCACGTGCTAAACGGTAAGTCTGTATGACGTTTGTTCAGGGTGGGTGGGGGGTAGAGCAGCACAGTCAGTGCCAACTATTTTTGTATTGCATGCCAATAGAATTAAGTTTTCATTTAGCCTAATTGAATTTTACTTTGCTGACTTTTGATTCACAAGCGTATACACAGTGGCACAAAGTGATTATTTTTATACCCTGTACCCATTAAAAATGCAAATGTATGTAACAGGCAGAAGGAAGCAGCTCTGACCCCATAAAGTATATATTTTCTTGATCAGCATCAATAGCCGAGTCGATCTAGCTATGTCCGTCTGTCTGTCCGTCCGTCCGTCCGTCCGTCCATCCGTATGTATGAACGCAAGGATCTCAGAACCTATAAGAGCTAGAGACTTGATTGAATTTTAGATGTAGATGCTCCTAGTTCCCGCGCAGGTCGAGTTTGTTTCCGATAATCGATAACTTACTCCGTTTTCAAGCAATCGATAAAAATCGATATCGATATCCTGTTTTTTGGGCAATTTTGGTAAATAATAAGAGCTAGAGTCACCCAACTTGACATATAGCTTCTAAAATAGAATATATATATGCATTTGATGTTGGAAGAAGAGGGTTCAGGGTATTCCCTAGTCGGGAGCTCCCGACTAGAACCTCTTACTTGTTTGCTTAAAAAGTGTGTCTTATGTCAGTAGAATAGAATGGATAATAATCAACAAATAATTATGTATCTCTAATCATAAATTATTAATTTTTACCTGTATTTTAAAATTATTTTACTTTTTATTTACATTGAAATTTATACCTGAATTATCTTTTTTGTTTGATACGACATCACCTTATTAAAGTAAAACTAGAACTTTGTCACACTCTTCTCAAAGTTATTAAGATACATTTCTTCTTTTCTTTTTATAAGCTTATTTCACATGTTTCTTTCATTGCGCAACCTTTCGTTTTCATTTTTTAAAAATAATTTTCTACGTTAGCTATAATAAATTCTTTACACATTTATTTACAGCTGTAATCATAAATTAGACATTTTCACATATATTTAAATAACTTTACTTTTTATTTATTTTTTTTCTTAAATTTATACCTGAATCCTCATTTTTGTTTAATACAACCACACCTTATTGAAGAAGAACCTGAACATGGTCACACTTTTCTCAAAAATACTTGTCACACACATTGGAGTTGAATTTCTTTTTCTTTCTATAAGCTGAATCCACATGTTTATTCCATTGTGCAACCTTTCATTTTTTATTTTGTTTACACAATTTTCTACGTTTGCTGATGGCCACTCAGACAAAAACGGCTACATTAGCAGCAACAGCAGCAGCATCAGTTGCAAGTCAGGCAACAACAGCAACGGGTGCACTTTTATTGTTATCTGCAAATGTCCCACAATTCCGCTGTTTTCTCAATGTCCGCACGGCGACACTGGGAATGAGAATGGCGTTGATGATGATAAGGATGATGATGTTGATGATGATCTAGCTGATAATGATGGGGATGACCTATAAGAAAGCAATGGGAAGCCAACTATCTGGGTAGGGCCTAGTAGCAAAAAAGATCAATTTTTATATATGTATCTTCGCTATACTGTATCTCATAATGTTGGAGTAAATGTTGAAAATGATAATGTAATAATGCTGAGGATGAGCTATTGGCACATACATAGCACATACTATAGACAACTATCTGCTTGTTTTCGCATAAAGATACATTTGCATCTATGTATTTTTGTATATGTGTGGTGCTTGTAATGTTTAGCATAATAAGAATGATTACCTATAAACATACAAGACTGAGTAGAGGCATACAAAAATCAAATATATTTCTATTTGTCTTTTAGCGTACAAAGATACATTTGCATCTACATAGCTTTGTATCTTGAATTGAATGATGATGATGATAATGCTAATGATAATGATAAGGATGACCTATAAGTATACAAAACATAGTACATCGCAAATACTATAGCCAAGTAGCGTCTGTCTGTTTGTCTAGTTATGCACAAGGGTACATTTGTATCTGTGTATCTTCGTGTCTCATGATGATGATGTTGAAGATTATGATGAGAATGAGCTATAAAATAGTACATACATACGAAAGCCAACTATCTGCCTGCCTGTCTGTTTGTTCAGTTACGCACAGAGATACATTTGTATCTATGTATCTTTGTATCTTCGTATCCATATATCTCAGATGCGTAGCGAGATATTTGTATGCCAATACACAATTTATGTTTGCATTTAAATCGTTTGGTCTGCAGTATGTGTATATATTCCCGTACTGTAATTTCTGTTGTTGTTTGAGCAGTGCGTGTATGTCAACTTTGACATGTGTTCTGTTTAAACCGTGCTACTTAACTGCGCCCCAACAAGACATGAGGGTGGAGATGGATGTGGCGTTGCCTGCAAAGCGATGATGACACCTGATGTGCAGGTTGCTTGAGAGACAGGTGCGCGCTCTGCACTTGTCGTTTACACGTTGTCAGGCGCAACACCTACAACAACAACAGTAACAAGAACTGCTGTCACGTTTATTCGAGCTTTAAATAATGCCCATAAAAATGGCATTGGCAATTGCGGTAAACTGTGGCTCGTGTGGGTAAAGGCTTTAAACATGTTCTATACGAATGTCAAGTGCTGCATGTTTTTTTTGGCATATGTCAAAAACTCAAAAAGGGGCAAAACAATGATTTAGGGGCATGTCTGTCCGTAAGCCGCGCCCTTACAATTTTCATGCCCAGTCCAGTTGTGGTTGCGGCCGTGCAGTTGTTAAATGCCACTTCAAATCGGGCAGGCAATAAATTATGAGCATTTTAATTGAATCATGACGTCATATAAAATATGAAATGTATAATAATACTAGCGGGTATAGCCCGGCCTTACCCGTGGCACTAATGTTATAAAAACAATGTTCTCTTTGAAAATGATTTTGAAACTGAGGGGACAGTAAACCACTACTACTACTCTCATACAAACGTTTTCTGTCATTTTACCAGTGTTTCGAGTGAATTTCCCAAATCGCTGAAACACGTATTCATTGTATTCTTATATAGAGCTTTGAAAGTTTGATGCAATTCGGACACAGCTTAAAATTCTCAAAAAATTACTTAAAAGTGCACTCTTGCAAAAAATGTGAAACACGTCTCAAATGCTTTTTTATATTAATCCATGCAAATGAATTTGAAGGTAGAAGGGCACCCACCAAATCTTTGATTTTTGGATTTGGATTTTTCGAAAAGTGTGAAACACCCCTCTAATGAATTTTAGCAATGATCTTTGAAAATAAGTTTGAGGCCGATCCGATGGTTAACAAAAAAGTTTCATACCAATGTTTTTCGCTAATTAACCACTGTTGTGGGTGGAATTTTACAAATTGCTGAAACACGTATTCATTAAGTTCTTATGTAGAGCTTTAAAAATAAGTTTGAAGCAAATCGGACACCACTTAAAACCTCGCCCAAAAATCTTTGAATCGTATTTCTAGCGAAGGAGTTTAGATTTTGCGAAAAATGTGAAACACATCTCAAATGATTTTTAATATAGAGCTTTGAAAATGAATTTGAGCGCAAAACGTCACCCACCAAATCTTTGAACCATTTCCACCAAGGAGGAATACATTTTTGGAAAAGTGTGAAACACCCCTCAAATGAATTCGAACAAAGAACTTTGAAATTGAGTTTGAGGCCAATCGGATGGTAAACAAAAAAGTTTCATACAACCGTTTTTCGCGATTTTTCCATACTTGCGGGTGGAATTTCCCGAAACGCCGTCTTAACGTGCACCTTCATAACATAAGGTAACTACAGTGAAAATTTAAGATTCCTAGCTCTTACGGGTTGGGCTGTGCGTTGATCACCAATCAGACAAACACTTTTATATAATCTCTATATAAAAAACTGTTTGTTTGACTATATTGACACTCTATTCAAAATAATATCATCATTAGCCTTTTGAGATCACTTATAAAGCAAAGATTTGAATAGAATTCTGCTCCCTAGATATCTATTTAAATAGTTTTAATGAAATTATTAATATTTATATCTATCCCAGCATACAATTATACCAATTAGGCAGGAGTTTAATTGAGCTGCCCGTAGACTGACTAAATATATCAAAATAGACCTCTAATTAACTGTATAAAAAGTGTTAAATACAGAAGAAAAAATGTGGTGATTCGAAGGCATTTTGTACATTCACATTTATTGATTACATTTTTACAATACCCCACAAACATACAGTAAAAAAATATAAAAATCTGAAAAATGGAAAAACAAGAAAACAAATATTGCATACAATTTATGTATTTTTAATATTCGACTAATTGGTGCAGATAAAATGCTGTCCGCAGCACTTTTAAGCCGAACAAATGAGTAAAACATGTTAAAGTCGGATAATGAAAATCACGGAAACACTAGGCCGGAGGAGATTTTTGGTGTGTGTGTGTGGGTGGGGGGTTAGTTTGTGTGGGAGAGCAAGTGTGTGCATATTAATAGCAACAAAAAAAAAAACAAAAGCGCAGGTTTTTCGACTTCTTTTTGAAATTCAATATTTTAACATGCATTTTTACATGAGCGCCAAAGGGTTAATAAAGTTAATGTCATTGTGTGGTGCTACTGTTGATGATATTGTAAAAGGTTTCTGTTGTTGTTGTTGCTGCTGAACAACTCGCTGATGGCGGCTGCAAAATTGCTGCAAAATATGAAAACAAAAAGGCAACAACTACAATCATGACAAATGATTATTAATAACTTAATGATATTATCATTTATTTATGTGCTGCATTTTCCCATTTTTTATTGGCACGTTTTCTCATTTATTGCACACACGCATGCACACTCTTGAATAGGGCGTGCAGCCGCCATATTGTGGTCAAATTTATATACTTCACGCCTAGCCACATATAGAATATCCATATGCCAATATATACAAAAAAACAAGTAAGAGGTTCTAGTCGGGAGCTCCCGACTAGGGGATACCCTGAACCCTCTTCTTTCAACATCAAATACATATATATATTCTATTTTAGAAGCTATATGTCAAGTTTGGTGACTCTAGCTCTTATTATTTACCAAAATTACCCAAAAAACGGGATATCGATATCGATTTTTATCGATTGCTTGGAAACGGAGTAATTTATCGATTACCGGAAACAAACTCGATCTGCGCAGGCACTAGGAGCATCTACATCTAAAATTTCAAGTCTCTAGCTCTTATAGGTTCTGGTTCTGGACGGAAGGACGGACGGACGGAAGGACGGACGGACAGACAGACGGACATGGCTAGATCGACTCGGCTATTGGTGCTGATCATGAATATATATACTTTATGGGGTCGGAGATGCTTCCTTCTGCCTGTTACATACATTTGGATTTTGCACAAATACAATATACCCTTATACCCATTTTTAATGGATTCAGGGTATTATATGTATATAAAATGTGTATAAATAAACGATTCTCCTCCTATACATTAAGTTGCCTATACATAGTATTTATTATATATATATCCGACATGTCCTGCTTGGGGTCAAAACATTTAGCTATACTTAATTATTTTACATAAATTAGCTTGGGATATTTTTGCAATAGGTTGACCGAGTGGAAAAATGATAAAATGAAATGCAAAACAGAATTTACTATGCAGCACGCGAATATTCAAATTTTTGATGATTAGTCAAATTTGGAATTTTATACATAATTTTAATTAAATACAAGTGTATATAGCTTGTGGTATTTAGACTTAATATACATTTTATTTGGTATCTTATGCATGCAAATACCATCATTGCCTACTACCAAATCATTTTTTAAAGTAAATACTTTTCTTCTTTTGTTAAGATTAGTTATAGTTTTGTTATAGCTTAGTTAAGCCACTTTACTTAACTTTTAATTTACCATAAATTGTAATTTTTGTTTTAGCATAAGCAAAAATATCATTTCGTTGCATTTGAAACTTGCTGCTTTATAATTAAATTTAGTCAGCCTTTATTTTAGTGCACTTTATTTGATTTTATACAACTATTTTATTTTGACATTGTTAATTTAATTTCAAATATTTATCTTGTGCACATTTCACGCCTGTGCCTCATACAACATAAAATACCATACAACGATACTCAAATATCAGTTAATTTATGCGCTCTTCTGTTTACCCTTCTCGGCTTTACTGTTTGTTGTTCAATTTCGGCATAGAAATATTTAATTACAATATGCCTCTATTTATTCAACGGACTTGTTACGCACACACATATTCGCACACTTTTACAAACTTTTGTAAATTGCACAAATTGTTTTACAACAAATTTGAGTTGAAATTGAATGTATTTGGGGGCCTAAAGTGGATTTTTAGCTTTCAGCTTGTGCATTTATTTTCGTAAAACGGGTGCGAATGCAATTGCAATTGAAATTAGAATAACAAGCTATTGTTAACCAGAAGCCAAAACAAACGTAACCTGTTTCTTTCTAATGGTCAGGTGAATACTCCGCATCGGCCATTAAGTCAGGCAGCATCAGCTGGAATACGCTAATTGGGTGTCCGGGCTATTTGCCGTGGCGGAACATTTCAACGATTTTGACACTTTTGTGGATTATTAAATTTATGTCCGCCAGAAATGTGGCAAGCTGCAGCAATCATGGCTATAACCAATTCAACAAACACCCTGCAACAGCGCTCCAGGGGCCAAAATCGCCAACAAGGACAACATGCACCACAACAGCAGACGAAACTGTCAGCCGCAGGCTCTGCGCACAGACTCAGACGACTGCCCGCAGGCACGGACTCGGCGGTGACTACGGCGGCAGCTGTGGCCACGTCAGCAGCTCAATTAGTGGTACCAAAGTGGCCGAGGATAAAACTTGAGCAATAAACCAACGGCAACAGCAGCAGCAGCTGAAGAAGCAGAATAACACAAGGATGCTACCCGCTGCAAACTTGAAATATGCCTAGAAATTTAAGTCCAACCAATGAGATACATTTGCAAAATGTAGCTACGAGTATGTTTTAACGTAAATACACTACAAATGCATAAGCGAGCTCATGTATTGCCATAAAGTCAACATATTGCTTACAGATATTAAATATACTTATGTGTATCTTTACAATATATACATGCTTATATTTTCATTAACTTATACTTTACATTTTATCTTTTTGCTTTCGTTTAACATATTCAATCTCTACCTCTTTGGGTAATAAAAAATCAGTTATATTAAAACCTCTAGTGAGTTGTGTATATATTGAAGAAAGAAATTTTGTGAGAACCAACTTTCTTTTCGAAATCTTTAAGATTCAGAGTCGCGTGAAATGCGTTATGGGTTGCGGTTGAACCATTATAATACTATATATAAAAGGCTACGCTGAATTGAAATAAAATAAACAGCACATAGAGTAAGATTTTTCAAAAAGCGGAAGGCTAGTTTCTGCCGATAAAGAAAATATATACACTTAAAAGATAATACATATAAAATTACAAAAGAAATTTGTATTAAAACAAAAAAATTGCAAAAAAGTGTATAATTATAATGCACAATAAAACAAAAAGAAAATGCCGCATTGAGCAAGAAATAATAAATAAATAGTAAATGGTAATATCATGACAGTTATGGGAAAAAAATCTAGGAGTATTTGAAAAGAAAATATCGGCTACAACCTTTACTTCCGTGTACTTACCTTTGAAAATAACTTTCGCGTAAGCCTTCTGTCATATGAGAACATAGCTTTCTACTTAAAACTGGCTCAGCATGAATTTGTACATATAAAAATATTATGCGGATTAGTTAAAAGAAAACTAAAAAAGTAGAATTTGACATATATGTAAACAATAATAAATACAGAATTAAAAAAATATATTTATAAAAATTTACGATCACTTCAAAGGAACTGTGTACATATGTGTGTGTGTATCGGATATGTAAGCTACATCGTTCTTTAAAAATAAATGAAGCAGACAGAATAAACAACAAATTTAAAATAAATAAACAGTAACATATTAGGTACTACATGCAAACCTTAGTTAGTGTTATAGACTTGCAAAAATTTGAAGCGTCACTTATGCTGAAAAATAAGTAATAAGTGTTTCGAATGTTTGCGACAATTTCTATTTTGATGTTTGCTTTAAAAATAAACTAAATATATAATAAATATATTTGCATTAAGTTTTAAGCGATTATCATAAGTGATAACAGCTAAATTAAATACATTTTCCCTAAATTAAATAATAAGGCTTAAGGGTTTTTCAGTATTTTTCAAAAGTATGGATGTAAGTATATATATGAGTACCTCATGTACTGTCCACAACTATTCGACTAATTATTAATTATTATTATTTAATTATTATTATTAATTTCAATTATTTATGCATGGTATGAGTGTTGGCTACCTGTATCTGCTCTTTTCAGTGCCGAAAAAATGTATGCTGTCACAAATCTATTCCCAGTATATTATATATACGTAGATTGAAATGCTAGCAGACAAAAGCATATGCCTCGAATATAACCGCATGAGCGGATACCCAGGACAACAAGGACTTTAGCTACTCGTGGGTGTGAGTGTATGTTGGAACTCAACGTGTCAACTAAAATATTCAAACAGTGCTCATGAATTGTGCACAAGCTTGTTAAATATTCATTCATTTGTCGGACCACAAGTGTTTGGGGATGGCAAATGCAAAACGTAAATGTTTGAAAAGTCTTGCTCTTACGCCACGCAAACAGACACACACCACACACACGTTTAGCCTGGTAACAAATATACTTTTGTTTTAGCCAACGTTTCAGCAAATAGCAAAACTGACTAAAAAATAGTATTTTTTATGTGGCGAGTAGCCATTTGCAAAATTTGTGGTTGTCGAAGCTGGTTTTTGTAGAAGTCAGAATACAAAATGTTGTATCCTGGTTTTTATTGGATTTTTGGAAAAAAGAAATGCCAACCAAAAAAGTAAAGTAAAGTATAAGACTTTTAATAATTTTGGGATAAGTTCCTTCGATATTATAGTTTTGGTTCCCAAGTCATAAGATCATATTTATCAACTAATTCTTTAGTTCTTAAACGCTGCTCAAACTATGTGGCATTATGTTAAGAGAGGACATTTTGAATACATGATTTGTAACTGCAGTCAGAAAGCTGTTTAGTCCCTGTCCGACTGTTTTTCAAACAGATCTTTGCTCTTTTAAAGCCTACAGCCTGATATACATATATCTCTCTATATGTCGGCTATTTCTATCATGACTGTGTACATTATTGAGTTTTATGTCCAGAAGACAAGAGGTTGCGTTACATTCCCGTCTATTGATACTGATCGAGAATATTAATGTTTCAACGTCGGACGGTTAATTAAGCTAATGGTATTCTTGATACCGACAACGTGCTTCCGACACACACACACGTGTAAGGGACGTGTCGCAGTCAAGTGGCTGAGCAATTCTTGGTGTAATTGTGGTTGATAAGTGGGGAACTGGGCCCTATATAAGCGGTGCAGTTGTGCATTTGGTCGTACAGTGGAAAAGTTTTTACTCCCAACGGTGAAAGTAACGCACAGGACTATCTACAACAATGAGAGTTTGTAAGTTGCGGACTGGGCTGGTTATTTGGGTCTATACTAAATGCTTCTGTTGTCCTTTGCAGACAACTTGCTGCTGCTCACACTTGTGATTACCCTCTCTGCTCTGGCTGCAAGCGGAGAGGCACAGAAGCCTGATTGTGCGGAGCACATTAATGGCCTTTCCTTTGCGGATCCCATCAGCTGTTCCAGCTTCTATGTTTGCCTGCGCGGCCGTGCGCTGCGAAGGGAATGTGCTCATGGCCTCTACTTCGATCCCAGGACCCAAATATGCAACCTACCGAGCCTTGTGGAATGCCACAATGGAGATCGCAGTAGTGCTATAGTCTCTGGGCATGATCACGAAGGGCATTTAGCGGCATCAAGTGGTAAAGCTCCTTGCGAAACAACTCCAAAGCCCCCATGTGATAAGCCAACAATACCCCCCTGTGAAAAAACAACCATCTCACCGCCACAAGCAGATACAACACCGTGCACGACCACAACTTCTTCTACAACTCCTTGCACAACCACATCGTCAACAACGACAACAACAACCACCACCACAACATCTACAACAACGACCACAACAACCACAACACCTTGTACAACGACATCGACAACAACGACTACAACAACCTCTACGACAACAACATCTACAACAACGACCACAACAACGACTACAACAACCACAACGACAACACCTTGCACAACGACAACGACGTCGACAACAACGACTACAACAACCTCTACGACAACAACATCTACAACAACGACCACAACAACGACTACAACAACCACAACGACAACACCTTGCACAACGACAACGACGTCGACAACAACGACTACAACAACCTCTACGACAACAACATCTACAACAACGACCACAACAACGACTACAACAACCACAACGACAACACCTTGCACAACGACAACGACGTCGACAACAACAACAACTTCAACAACGAGCACAACAACCACAACAACACCTTGCACAACGACGTCGACAACAACGACTACAACAACCTCTACGACAACAACATCTACAACAACGACCACAACAACGACTACAACAACCACAACGACAACACCTTGCACAACGACAACGACGTCGACAACAACAACAACTTCAACAACGAGCACAACAACCACAACAACACCTTGCACAACGACGTCGACAACAACGACGACAACAACCACAACAACAACAACAACTACAACAACGACCACAACAACCACAACAACAACAACAACTACAACAACGACCACAACAACAACAACAACTACAACAACGACCACAACAACCACAACAACAACACCTTGCACAACGACAACAACGACGACGACAACAACAACCACAACAACGACTACAACAACCACAACGTCGACAACAACAACAACGACCACAACAACGACGACCACAACAACGACGACCACGACAACAACGACAACTCCTTGCACAACAACAACGACAACGACGACAACGACAACAACAACGACCACAACAACGACGACAACAACGACTACAACAACCACAACGACAACCACAACAACGACCACAACAACGACTACAACAACAACACCTTGCACAACGACAACGACGTCGACAACAACGACTACAACAACCACAACAACAACACCTTGCACAACGACAACGACGTCGACAACAACAACAACTTCAACAACGAGCACAACAACCACAACAACACCTTGCACAACGACGTCGACAACAACGACGACAACAACCACAACAACAACAACAACTACAACAACGACCACAACAACCACAACAACAACAACAACTACAGCAACGACCACAACAACAACACCTTGCACAACGACAACAACGACGACCACAACAACGACTACAACAACCACAACGTCGACAACAACAACAACGACCACAACAACGACCACAACAACGACCACAACAACGACGACCACAACAACGACGACCACGACAACAACGACAACTCCTTGCACAACAACAACGACAACGACGACGACGACAACAACAACGACCACAACAACGACGACAACAACAACTACAACAACCACCCCAACAACAACACCTTGCACAACGACAACAACGACGACCACAACAACGACTACAACAACCACAACGTCGACAACAACAACAACGACCACAACAACGACGACCACAACAACGACGACCACGACAACAACGACAACTCCTTGCACAACAACAACGACAACGACGACGACGACAACAACAACGACCACAACAACGACGACAACAACGACCACAACAACAACTACAACAGCACCTTGCACAACGACAACGACGTCGACAACAACAACAACTACAACAACGACTACAACAACAACACCTTGCACAACGACAACGACGTCGACAACAACAACAACCACCACAACGACCACAACAACCACAACGACTACAACAACCACAACAACAACACCTTGCACAACGACTACAACAACCACAACGACAACCACAACAACGACCACAACAACGACTACAACAACCACTACAACAACACCTTGCACAACGACAACGACATCAACAACAACAACGACCACAAAAACGACTACAACCACTACAACAACAAAAACAACAACGACAACAACAACAACAACGACTCCTTGTACAACGACAACGACTACAACCACAAAGCATATACCGACAACACCTTGCATAACAACAACAACAGCCTGTAAGACAACTACTAAGGAGCCGTGCCCGTCCACAAGGCCCCCTTGCACCACGACTGTTGCTCCATGCACTACAACAACACCACCCTGTACGACAACAACCACACCGTGCACGACAAAAAAACCTACCAATAGGCCTGAAGAGGTTGTTAAAGCTATCGTAAGCAACTCAGCTGAAGCCCTGTCTTCCGTCCGCGACTGCCAGGGTCTCGAGGACGGTACATTCTTCACAAACACCAGACATTGCCGCCGCTTCTACGTTTGCCGCAACAACCGCGCCAGGCATCAGCTCTGCCCGGCCGGCCAATGGTTCGATCGTGAGCTGAAGGTCTGTCGCAACCGCCGTGAGGTAACCAACTGTGCAGCCAGCCGCAACTAAGTGATGCTCCGAATTCGAATACTTGGACACAGTACTGCAATTGTACCCGGACTTATCGCATCTGACCTAACGACAAATTTTCTCTCTACTACATATATACTACACTTAAAAAAAAAATAACTCTTACTTCTTTCTATTCTATCAATCAAATGTAATAAAGCAGCATTTACAAAAACGTAAAAACCTATTGTCTTTTATAAACTATTATTTAAAATATACCAGTTTAGATTTTTCGAAAAATTATTGTCTGCAGACAAATTTTAGCTGGCATCTTGAAAAAATAAGACAGCATATATTGATTAATTAATGTAAAATAAAGTACTCAAAAGTGTTGTAAAACGCAAAAAGGTTTTATGAAAATTTCCAATAATAAGAATTTTAGACTAATCAAATTAACTATATTAAAAATGAAATACATTTTTTTTAATATAATATGCATAGAATAGTTTTTGCAAACAATATAAATATTCTATAGCGGATAGTTAAAGAGGTTGTATATCTTATCAAAGGTTTTCAAAAGATAAAATAACATAGCTTATATTAACTGGCTAACTCGTTAGGTATTCATGATAAATTTTACTTAATGAATCAGGATTGATTAAAGTTGTTGTCTGACCTACTGAAATTGTGAGCTAAACGAGAAGCCCACGAAGGATTTTCTGGTTGAGCTGCTCGACTAATTAGTCAGCATTTGAAAATAATTGCTTTCATTTTGGCACCGTTTTTCACTGCCAATAGGCGCAGTGCCTCACTCAGGCGATTGCAAATTGAATGCATGTATGTGAGCATGTTACAACAACAGATTTGTCAGTGTGTGTGTGTGCGCGCGCACATACCTAAAGTAAAAAGGATGTCATCCCAGTAACTGGAAATACGATATTAATCATAGAGCACTTTGCTGGCGATGGCGGGCTCCCGCTTCACATTCTGACAGCGACAAGGGCAGCCTCTCATCACTCGCCGCTGTCTGTTGCACGTTCCCTCTTGCCGTCTTGAAAAGCCACACCCCTTCTGTGTGTTTTTCTCTCGACAGCCAATCATAGTTTTCACACTCTAGTTAACAACATTGTCACCGAGTTTCAGTCAATTCAGTTAAAAAAAAGAGAGAGAAAAAATTTGTTTGACGTTGCCATCTTTTATACCCTGAACCCATTAAAAATGGGTAAAAAGGGTATATTCTATTTGTGCAAATGAAAATGTATATCACAGGCAGAAGGCAGTATATCCGACCCCCCAAAGTATATATATTCTTGATCAGCATTAACACTCGAGTCGATCTAGCCATGTCCGTCCGTCCGTCATCGGTATGTATGAACGCAAGAATATCAAAACCTATAAGAGCTAGAGACTTTCAATTTAGATGTAAGTCCTCCTATTGCCTGCGCAGATTGAGTTTGTTTCCGATAATCGATAACTAACCCCGTTTTCAAGTAATCGATAAATATCTATATCAAAATCATGTTTTTTGGGCAATTTTGGTAAATAATAAGAGCTAGAGTCACCAACCTTGACATATAACTTCTAGAATAGTATACATATTTGCATTTGGCGTTGGATGAAGATGGCTTAGGGTATCCCCTAGTCGGGAGCTTGCGACTAAAACCCTTTACTTATTTTTCTTTTTTTGTGACTTTCTTTTCAGTCTACACATATACCCTGCCCCTAACTCATTTCAATGCACAATTTTTCAGCCATTTTGCTGTTCGGTTGGAATTTTCCTTTTTGACATTAGCTTAGCTCTGAACACTACGTGTTTCGGAGGAAAAAAGTGTGTTCCAGCGTTGACATTTTAAGTTAATTTGCATAGAGCCGCAAAAATTTCACAATGGTTGTCATGGGGTGGATGTATTAAGGGGCTTGGTTGAAAACTTTTGCTTACCTCTGCTGCTGTCTGATATTAAAAACTAAATGGTCCGCAATTACTGAAATTTAACATACATTAGAGTGTATGCAAATATGTTTCAACACATGCAGGGATATACATATATGTCTGGGTATATGCAAAAGCTCTCTATATGTAAGTACATACCCTTGGCAATTTTCATGAATACTCAGTTGTTCTGCATTTGTTGTCTGCTTTATTCTAAATGACACTAAATTCAAAAAAGGGGAATTTAATAAAAATCTTTTATAAAATATATTTTTGTTTTAAATTAACTTTATTATATAAGAGCCTATTGCGAATTTGCAAATTAAAGTATTATACAATTTTCGATTGAAGTTTAAAGTAAATCAAATACATTTATGATAAATGGGATATACCATAATAATTAATAATAACAAGCCAGCATTTTCTGTTTAATACTGAGTTTTTGCTTCATCGAAGACACACATCCATACACTAGCAGGGACGCGAACCTGCGCTCTCTTTGTTCTCATCTCTAGCGTAAGATAGTGATATTCCATTTAATAACTACTTAAACATTAAATGCTTTATTTCTATTACCTTATGTATTTGTCATTTATCTTTATGGGTAAATCATTACTTATATTGCCCACCAATTTAAGCCACAATTTAACTTTTTGAGAATACACAAATATTGTATGGTACAATGATATACTATAGAAAATTTCATTATCGGTTAAGAAAAACCCAAAGTTAGGTTTTACTGCGCAATTGGATGGGGGCACCATGCGCAAATTCCAAGAATTACTGTATACATGTATACACACAGATTCATGCGCGTCTGCTTCGATTCTATCAACAACATCGGAATCTATCAACAGTGATTGTTATCTGTACAGCTATTTTAATACGTTTGTTTCCTCAATAATACCACTAACCAAACAACATTTATACGTCAATTTTAATTGCTCGGACCTTAATTGGCAAATCTTGTTGCAGCGCAACTCTCTAAGCGCATTCGAAGGGACTGCATTTCTATCGCTACTTGTCCTCTGGCCCATCATAACAGCCAAGCCAGATACAGCTGCTCACCCCTTCCCCCCTTTCCGTTTCCCAACGTGTATCCCATATTAATGAATGCTCAAGCTGAGCAGGGAGCGCTATATGGCTAAGAGCTGTAATTCCGCACAGAAATTCACAATGCCATCAAATATGCGCGCATAAACCAAGTAGCAGCCCGCACCCACAGCCCGCATCCACATCCGCAAGGGATCACACTTGTCTATTCGCGTTTTACACAGCGGCTGCAAACTGACGAGCTACCTCTCAACTACTGGCAACTGCTGGCACCTCCACCTGCCTGTAGTACCCAATTTCCGGTGCTTGCGTAAATACATTATGCAGCTTACAACTACTTATCGGGATGCAGCTGCAAGCTACCATGGGCTACATTTGCACTCTATGTGCAATTTTTCGAGAGCTTTAATTTTTACTGAAATATAAATATAACGAGAGCTCACAATTTACTGTGAACTTGTTTTTCATGTTTCATGTAAGTTAACAGGTGCTCTGTTATACGTCAAAAATGTTAGTTAACGTGCATACATAAACTTATGTTCAACATCAGAAATGTTAAATAACATAGTTATGCAGCAGAAAAGGTAGTCAACTTTCTGTTTGGAATATCTGTTAAATATTAAAAATGCAAATAAGCTTTCTGTTATGCACCAGGAATGTTAGCCTACCTTCTGTTAACTACCAAACATATTTGCTTACATTCTTTTGTGTGCTCTAACTATTCATCTTTGTGTTTAGCTTTAATCGTGCCTTATAACGGCACAGCCCATAGTGTGGCAGCAGGCAGCTGACTTGGCTGGGTTTTTGGATTTGGTGGCAGCTACGTGGCGTAAAGTGGCAAATTCAAGGCGCAACTTTTGTCGATACAAGCGGCAAGTGTCGGGAAGCTGGGCGCCTGTAAGCATGCAATAAAAGTGCATGGCAAAGCTGTGCAAAAGGTGAAGATTACGCACTGAATGCGAATGCCAGTCTTTGGCCCAGACGCTGCAAGTGACTCGTTTTTTTTTTACCCTGAACCCATTGAAAATGGTTAAAAAGCGTATATTGTATTTGTGCAAAATGCAAATGTATGTAACAGGCAGAAGGAAGCATCTCTGACCCCATAAAGTTTATATATTCTTGATCAGCATCAATAGCCGAGTCGATCTAGCCATGTCCGTCTGTCTGTCCGTCCGTCCGTCCTTTCGTCCGTCCGTATGTATGAACGCAAGTATCTCAGAACCTATAAGAGCTAGAGAAATTTTAGATGTAGGTGCTCCTAGTGCCTGCACAGATTGAGTTTGTTTCCGATAATCGATAACTTACTCCATTTCCAAGCAATCGATAAAAAAATCGATATCGACATCCTGTTTTTTGAGCAATTTTGGTAAGTGTTAAGAGCTATAGTCACCAAACTTGATATGTTGCTGATAGAATATTATATATATATCAAGTATCATTTCATTTTATACATATCGCCACCTCCCCGCTAACACCCTAGAGCTATAAATCATGTTAATAACCCAACTTATAATGCCAACCAATCTAAGCCACAATTTTAATGCAATTGACTTATTGAGAATACACAAATATTCTATGGTACACTAAGATATACTGTAGAAAATTTCATTAGGATCGATTATGAAAAACCAAAGTTATATGTAATTGCGTAATTGAATGGGCAGCTGGCGAAACCATCAATGAAAAACCTGCTTTTGGTGTTGGAATAAAAGGGTTCAGGGTATTCCCTAGTCGGTAGCTCCCGACTAGAACCTCTTACTTGTTTTTTTTTTTATTTGCTTTTGCTGTGTTGCAAAATGTTGGTGAGGGAATTCGCACATTTGTGTCAGCTGAACCGCAGACACTGAGAGACAGTGGGACATACTCGCTGCACACTGTTCGCATGACAAACATGTGCGATACGCCACTTGCACCTTTAGTCTATTTACACACACACACTTACCCGCAAGCCCGCACGGCCCTCCGCCAACTGCTCATAAAAGTTAAGGACTTGCATAACTTCTGGCATTTATGAGCGCTTTTCACTTGCTCTCAGCAGCTTCGTCTTGCGCTTTCCGCATGCTTCATTACGCAAATGCCGTGTTTTCAAATTATTTAACATGCAGCCGCCAACCGCCACCCCCAACCCGCTTTTGCGCTTGTTAGCCGCATTTTTGTATGCGCGCGACAAACTCTCTACTTTGGTGGTTTAGTGCGCGCGTATCTGGGCTATCGGCGAGTGGCAGGGAGGTGTCTGCTGATTAGCGTCGCATTTGTGCCATACTTGCATTTTGTAAGCCCTTCGTAGTGCCATAAACACGTTTAGCTGCCACTCAAATTGTCACTGCGATAGTTTTGTGTGAACTGCTTCTACGAGACTCACAGAAAACCATAAACATACATTTCGTGAAATCTGTTTTTTATTTCCGAAAACCCCAAGCTATCATTATGCATTAGGCATACTGCTTCAGAAATTATCAGATGTTTTGGTATATATATACCTAATTATGAAGTAATAATTATAACAATATAAATAAGTTAAACAATAACAAGAGGTTCTCGTCGAGAGCTCCCGACTAGGGGATACCCTGAACCCTGTTCTTCCAATATCAAATATATATATACCTATATATATTCTATTTTGGAAGCTATATGTCAAGTTTGGTGACTCTAGATCTTATTATTTACCAAAATTGCCCAAAAAACAGGATATCGAGTAAGTTATCGATTATCGGAAACAAACTCGATCTGCGCTTAGTGTTAGTTAGTGTTGTTAATAACGAAAGGCGTGTATTATTCAATACCAAGTCTGCAAGAGAAATATTGGATATTGATGTTCATATTTTGTTCCCTCAACAGTAAAATATAGATTTATTGAACCTGATAAAACCCATGCTGGCGCCTTAATATTATAAATTCAAGGTTCTGTTCCACCGCATTTGACTTAAAAGCATCATCAACTTTACGAAAATGTTTGCTTATTTGAACTCAACTGTTAACCCCAATCCCACCTTCCACCAGAAGGCTGCACAGCGGCTTCCCTAATGCCGTAGTTACTCAAGAGTTAAGTTATTTAAGGGTAATTATGAGTGTTAACAGTAAATGATATTGCAAGCAATCTGTAGCATAATAAATAATTAAAATGCGGCATTCAAATGAAATGCCGGAGAATTAATGAATATGAAAACCACGTCATTGGCCAAAAAGGTGCCATAACGACAGCCAGTTGGCTTTTACATCATTATTTCATTAAGTGTCTGCCCAAGACAGAAACCCTCTGCTAAACTGGAGGAGCGGGCGCTTGCATTTAGCAAGCCAGACGCAACTGTAATTCAACTTGAGGCGCCACCTTGACCTCGCCCAATGCTCGGCAGTTAGTCAACGAGCTTGCAGAGTGAGCTCAAGGGTCAGGTAGGGATGGGCGGTGTCTGGAATGGGGCATAGCTCATTAACAAACATCAGTTACAAATGTTGTGAATTACTTAAGGAATTAATATTCTATGCTTTACACAGCGAACAGCAGGCAGCAGAGCTTAAGCACCCGCGGCTGCATACATACCAGACATTCAGCCCATAAGCTCTTTCCGAGTAGGGCTCTTTACATTCAGCCCCCTCCCTAGCAAATGAGCAGCAGTCACAAGTCTCTAGTATATTTCTTAAATCATGCTTGCTTAGCTTTAGCGTACCCTGTGGCGTATACTTAATGCGAAGTAATTCATTTATATACACACACAGTCCATCAGCTGGCATGAGCTTGCCTGTCGTGTCCAATTCTTATTCCCCCTCGTCATCATCATCAATATCATAATCTTCTTCATCGTTGATTAGAACGTTGATAATGGCACAGCTTATTTGCCTGGGACTTGGCCAATGACTGCTCCCCAGTCGCTGATGCTACCACATAGTTGGAGCTCCCAAAGCACACTGTGGAATTAATGAAGATTTTATGCGCCCTTAACTTGTAAGTATAAACGAATAAAACGCTTGGATTTCTGACGTTTAAGCACTAATTCGAACAAAGCTGAAGTTCGTTTAACAAAAATTCAATTTTTTAGCATATTACTTGCAAACCCTTCCTTTTATACTGGCTAGTCCGCCTGGCAGATGGACTGACTAATTGAATGACTCGTGACTCCGTAAGAGGAAAGTCAAATTTTTATGGAAATTGCCAACCGCTTGTGTGGAAAACTGACGGGAAATAGTTTTCCAAAACTTTTTTGCGTGCTATCCGAGACGGGGAGTTATACGCGATACGGGTAGATTTGAGCTCAGCTGATATTTTTTTTATAAGCACATTTTCGTTCACTTTTACGAAAGTCAGCGCGTGATTCATAATTTTACAGTTGCTAAGAGCAGAACAACTTAGAAATGGGGAATCATCTATTAAAGATCCCATAAACTGAGCGCTGAACCCAACTTCCAAACTCTGTGGCCTCTATAAAACAAATGTCAGAGTCTTAAATTTATTTTGAAACGCAGTTTTACTGCCAATGCCGAGGGGCCAGTCATCGGAACTAATCGAATTGCTGTCTTCTTTTCTCACATGAACAAAACTTAGACTCAAGTGACCATAAAAAGGGAGTAGGCTGTCTCCGTTTCGAACAATTCAAGTTTGAGCTCCGTCCTGTGCGCACCATGACTCAAATCCTATTGCCGATCGCGTTGCTCTGTCTGTTCGCAGCATCAACCCTCAGCAATCCCCTGCTCGTGGAGTTGCCAAATGGAGAACTGCGGGGACGCGACAATGGATTATATTACAGCTACGAGTCAATACCTTATGCCGAGCCACCTATCGATGATCTGTGCTTGGAAGAACCTCGTCCCTACACCGAAAGATGGGAAAATACCTTTGACGCGACTCGGCCCCCAGTAGAGTGCCTGCAGTGGAGTCAACTCATTTCACAGCCAAATAAACTGACGGGAAGCGAGGACTGTCTGACCGTCAGCATATACAAGCCAAAGAATCTGACTCGCTCCTCCTTTCCGGTAGTGGCGCATATATTTGGCGGTGGCTGGTCGTTTGGTGGTGCGATCGATGACGGAGTCGAGCCCTTCATGAACAGCGGCAATGTGATCGTGGTGAAGATCAACCACAGAGTGGGAGCGCTTGGTTTTTTGAGCACTGGCGATTCTGTGATTCCGGGCAACTTCGGACTAAAGGATCAGCGTCTGGCAATCAAATGGATCAGGAACAACATAGCACGCTTTGGCGGGGATCCACATAATATAATTCTTCTCGGTTTCGGTACAGGCGGCTCCTCGGTGCATTTGCAGCTTATGCACAAGGATATGGAGCAGCTGGTGAAGGGGGCCATCTCCATTAGTGGAACTGCAACGGTTCCCTGGGCTGTACAGGCCAATGCACGTGATCTAGCATTCCGATATGGCAAACTCTTGGGTTGTAATAACCCCAAAACGTCACGGGAGCTGAAAGATTGCCTGAAAAAAACCGATGCTGAAGAATTCGTCAGCACCTTAAGGCATCTTCAGGTGTTTGACTATGTGCCTTTTGGTCCGTTTGGCCCAGTCGTAGAGTCCCCCGAAGTGGATAGCCCATTCCTCACCGAGCTGCCCCTCGACACCATCAGAAGTGGAAACTTTGCTCAAGTGCCTTGGTTGGCCAGCTACACACCTGAGAATGGTATCTATAACGCCGCTCTTCTTTTAGCTAAGGACGCCAATGGTAAGGAGAGGATTGAAGAGTTGAACACTCGCTGGAACGAACTGGCTCCATACTTCTTGGCTTACCCATACACATTGAAGAGGACTGAAATGAATGCTCATTCTCAGAAACTGAAACATCAATATCTAGGATATAAGAACTTCAGCGTCGAAAACTATTTCGATGTGCAACGCTTGTTTACAAACGAGTTGTTCAAAAAAGGCATCGAACTGTCATTAGATGCACATCGTAAGCACGGAACCAGCCCCGTCTATGCGTACGTCTATGACAACCCCGCGGATAATTCGCTGGCACAATTCCTGTCCAAGAGATCTGATATATTCTTGGGTAAAATAATTGTTAATGGTTCGATATTGGTGCAGTAACTAATGTCAATTGAACTATTCTCAGGCACCGGAATGGGCGACGATTACTATCTCTTGATGAACAATCCACTGCGTGAACCGCTGCGAGCTGACGAGAAAATCGTTTCATGGAAGCTAGTCAAGATGGTGGAAGATTTTGCCGCGCACGAGACCTTGGTCTATGACGACTGTGTGTTCCCAAGCAATTTGGGCAAAAAGAAATTCCAGTTGGTGGTCATAGGACGCAACTATTGCAAGCAACTGGAAGTGGATCGTTTGCCCGACACGGTGTCCAACAATCTGCCACCAAATCCAATTGTAATTTACTGAGCCGATCTCTATGAAGCGATCACATTAATAGTCGATGGGTGTAAATTTGTATAAATGTATATGTGGGTACTGTAATCTTTGGCAAATAAATCATGGCATTATTTAAAATCTCAAAAGCTTCACAGTCGACTAAGAACGACTTCTTATTCACAATTTACGGTCACACTTTTACTTTTATTCCCTTCGATATCTATCTCTTTTTTTCTCTCACTCACTCTCTCTCTCTTGGCTTCTCCTTCGTGGCTAAATACTATAACTTCACCACGAATTCGAATGCGTCCATCATACTACCCACAGAAAAAGGAACTAATAAAATAAACTAAAAAAGAACATTTCTTTTGCAATGTTGTGTGAAATTGAGTGTGAGCTCTGATTGTTTTACCCAGTTGCAAGTGTTTAGTAGAAAAATGTTGAAAAATTACAAAAGCAAGGAATACGCGAGTTAACGAGTTAAAATAACCAAAGGAGTAAAAGCGTGTGCTTAGATTAATTTAAATTTAAACGTTTTTCTTTTTTTTTCACAAAAATTAAAAAAACATGCAGCCAAGTGCAAGTGTTCATTAGAAAAGTGTGGAAAAATTACAAAATACTCGAATTAACAAATTAAATTGGCCAAAGAATTAAAAGCGTGTGCTTAGATGAATTTAAATGTAAATGTTTTTTTTCTATATTTCACAAAAATTAAAAGAAATACCTATATTTATCTACCTATATTTATATAGACAACTTTACATTGGGATGCTCGTTGATGTGTTCTTAGAGACTTTTTCAAAATAAAAGAATTCAATTCTTTTAATATCTTATCAATATTTAAAAATAAATGGAACCCAATTTCATATATTTCTAAATATTTAATGTTTTTCTTTTGCGCACAAGCTTAGCTCATTTGATATGTATATAAATTATTTATTTTTTACGACAGTTTTTTTTATGGTTTTTGTTATTAGTCAAATGTTTTGCACTTTGCCCCTAACAGGTCAAATGTCATATTTTTTATCACTTTTTTAAACTCCAATGCAAATGTAAATTATTCTCCAACTCAGTAAAGGTACATAAAATTCAAAAATCATCTAGTTAAGAGTTGCCATAAAAAGCTGCTGACTTTCTGGGCTGGCTGCAGTTTGCATTGGGATCCGTTTAGTGTACATTATGAATTATTGCTGTATTATTGTGGCCGCAGTGCTGTGCGTATGGCCCACAACTTGCTTGTCTGATCCACTGTTGGTAAGGCTGCCATACGGTACGCTGCGTGGACGCGATCGCGGAATATATTACACGTACGAGTCCGTGCCTTACGCAGAGCCACCCGTAGGCCCTCTGCGCTTCGAGGCACCCAAGCCATTTGCTGGAAAATGGAAGGAAACCTTTGATGCTACAAGGCCGTCGGCGGAGTGCTTGCAGTGGAGCCATTTTGTCACGACACCTGATCAATTGACGGGCAGCGAGGACTGTCTGACAGTAAGCATATACAAGCCAAAGAACTCGACTCGCCGCACTTTTCCGGTGGTGGCAAGTATATTTGGCGGTGCCTGGTCGTTTGGCGGAACTCTTGAGGACGGAGCTAGGGGATTCATGGACAGCGGCAATGTGATCGTGGTGAAGATCAACCATAGAGTGGGAATTTTGGGCTTTGCCAACACTGGCGATGCCGGCTGGTCGGGCAACTATGCACTGAAAGATCAGCGTCTGGCAATCAAATGGATAAAGGAGCACATTGGGTATTTCGGTGGAGATCCCAATAGCATATTACTCTTTGGTTTCTCCTCAGGAGCTGGTTCCGTGCATCTTCAGCTCATGAACGAGGACATGAAAGGCATTTTGAAGGGCGTCTACTCGATGAGCGGAAACGCAGTGTCGTCCTGGTCTATGCAGCCAAGTGGTATTGAGCAGGCGTATGAATTGGGTCGAGTTTTAGGTTGCGGCAGTCCCAATAATACAGCCGAGCTGAAGATGTGCCTGCAAGCGGTGGATGCGAATGAATTAGCCAGATCATTTAAGCACTTTTTAGTCTATGACTATATTCCATTTGCTCCATTTGGACCCACTGTGGAGCCCGAGGACACAGTTGATCCCTTCATTACCAAGCTACCCATTGACATAATAAAGAGTGGAAAGTTTGCACAAGTCCCATGGTTGGCTGGCTACACGCCAGAGGAGGGTATCTACAATGCCGCCATATTTCTTGCAAAAGAGCCGAATGGCAAAGAGAGGATATATGAGCTTAACACACGCTGGTACGAATTGGCGCCCTACTTATTCTCCTATCGCAACACAATGAACCGAAGGGAAAGGGACAGCCACTCTCGAAAGCTAAGGCAACATTATATGGGCAATCGGAGGTTCAGCATCGAGAACTATTGGGACTTCCAGCGCATGTTTACGAACGAGATATTCAAGAACGGCATCGAGCTGGGCGTAGATCTGCAGCGAAAGTATGGAAAGAGTCCAGTTTATGTGTACATTTACGACAATCCATCTGACCATTCGTTTGGACAGTTACTGGCAAAGCGCAGCGACGTGTTCCTAGGTACGATAATTATTAAAGGTTCGCAGCTGACCAACTAACCAATGCCAATACAACAATTTACAGGCACGGCACATGGCGACGATTATTTCCTCATGATGAACAATCCAATACGCGAGCCGCTGCGACCTGACGAGAAAGTCATCTCATGGAAGCTCGTCAAGATGGTGGAAGGTTTTCTTGAAAGCGGGGACTTTGTCTATGACAACTGCGCCTTCCCCGACAATGTGGGCCAAAAGCAATTCCAGCTGATGGTCATTCAACGCACCAGCTGCAAAGTGCGGAAAGTGGATCGCTTGCCCGATACTGTCTCCAGCAATCTCCCACCAAGCCCAGTTGTTGTTTACTAATGGGATCAGTTGGACTGGCGGTCAGAAGTTTTCACTGTGGCAAGCTGGCGGTAAGGGTATATTTTTCTAACCAGTTTTTAATGCGCATAATTAAAATTCAGATCCAGAGCTAAAATAAAAATGCTAAAGTCAAATTTACAATATTATTTGTTATTTGTGCACAAGTGCTCAACAATTCATACAAAATGAATTGTGTTCTTATGCTAAGAATTGAACAAGAACTTAAAAAAAAAATTGGTTCCAGTTGTGCTTCTAGTCAGCCATTAATTTAGCCCAGACAAAACCTTAAAACTAATAAACCAAGCTTACATTAGGCTTAAATGCAGTTTGGGCTACTTTATGAACGATTTAAGTTTAATTTCGTGATTGATCTAGTTTTATACCATTCGATGGGGATATTATAATTTTATCGTTAAATGTGTAACGCCTAGAAGCAGACATCTCCGAACCCTATAAAGGATATATATTCTTCATCAGCATCAATCGCCGAGTCAGGTTACCCATATCCGTCTGACTTTTTCTAGTTCTCAGGCTATCGTCTTATGTAACTTTACCTACGCCCGTCTTTCTGTTAAATGATCACTATCACAAAAAGCTATTATAGGATTGATCGCTCGAATTTAATTTAATTCTTTAAAAAACAAATCTTTTTGTTTAAAAATATATATTGGAAAAAATATGACCTTATTGTTTTCACTTATTATAAATTAACCAAAAATTGTCCATACCTGACGACTATGTGTGTAAAATGGCATTTAATCTGCGGCGTGCCGTTTTTATACCCTGAATCAATTAAAAATGGGTATGAGGGTATATTGTATTTGTGCAAAATCCAAATGTATGTAACAGGCAGAAGGAAGCATCTCCGACCCCATAAAGTATATATATTCTTGATCAGCATCAATAGCCGAGTCGATCTAGCCATGTCCGTTTGTCTGTCTGTCTGTCCGTCCGTCCGTCCGTCCGTATGTATGAACGTAAGGATCTCAGAACCTATAACAGCTAGAGACTTGAAATTGATGTAGGTGCTCCTAGTTCCCGCGCAGATCGAGTTTGTTTTCGATAACCGATAACTTACTCCGTTTCCACGCAATCGATAAAAATCGATATCAACATCCTGTTTTTTTTTTAGCAAATTGGGTAAATAATAAGAGCTAGAGCCACCAAACATGATATGTTGCTTCTAGAATATTATAGATATTGCAAGTATCGTTCATTTCATACCTATCGCCACCTCCCCGCTACCACCATAGAGCTATAAATCAAGTAAATAACCCAACTTTTATTGCCGACCAATTTAAACCACAATTTAAATGCAATTGACTTTTTCAGAATACACAAATATTCTATGGTACAATAAGATATACTGTAGAAAATTTCATAAAGATCGGTTAAGAAAAACCAAACTTATATGCAACTGCGCAATTGAATGGGGCAGCGGCTTTAAGAATTTCTGTATACATGTACACACACACATTCATGCGCGTCTGCTTCGCATTCTAATAGCATGGTAATTGCATCTTTTTTTGTAATGTTATTTTAGTTCCTTTTTTATCATATGTACTTGTTTGTTGGTGTGGCTGTTGAGTAGAGGCATAGCAAGTGGTGCGGTCTGTCGCAAGTTCGACCCCTGCCAAGGGAACATTTTTTATTAATTTATTTGGTGTTGGAATAAGAGGGTTCAGGGTATCCCCTAGTCGGGAGCTCCCGACTAGAACCTCTTTCTTGTTTTTTTGTGTATTTATTGCCTTTTTCAATCGTAGCCAATTTGAATATAATTTGAAGCAGTTCAATTGTAAATGCAATTAGCGAATTTTGAATATTATATATATGTTTATATGTATATATTTGTAGAATATTATATTTCTGGAATTATACTGAATTACTTGGATTGTAACTTATGGACACATAAACATATACTTATATGTATGCATGTGCTGTTATATCATAGCCTTCAAGCCAGGCAATCTTGTTGTTTATTTTTTCGCTCTGTTAGTTTTTTTTTCGCATTTAGCTGTCACATTGATTGCCACATACCGATTTGCCAGTTGATAGAGTGAATCTCATATTTCATATTTGGTCATGCATCTAATTGGCTGTATGGCGTGCGAGAGAATTAGTTGAGAAATTAGTTGTGATTGCAGTGCATATAAACAAATACTTGCCACAGACTAGACTAGTGTGAACCAAGACTCGCTCGAGTGTAAATCATGAATGATATCATGATTACGGTCGCCTTGATTTACTTAGCGGCGGCAGCTTCATTTGCCGATCCTCTTTTAGTTGAACTGCCAAATGGAAAACTACGTGGGCGCGATAACGAGGGGTATTACAGCTACGAGTCGATACCCTATGCGGAGCCACCTGTGGGTAAGCTACGCCTCGAGGTCCCACAGCCATACTTACAGCAGTGGAAGGACGTCTTCGATGCGAGCAGGCCGCCCGTGCTCTGCATGCAATGGAATCAGTTTGTCGACGGGGAAGATAAGCTAATAGGCACGGAGGATTGCCTCACTGTTAACGTGTACAAGCCGAAAAACTCGAGTCGCAGCACTTTTCCTGTTCTGGTCAATATTCATGGCGGCGCCTTCATGTTCAGCGGACCTGTTCAGCACGGCCACGATCCCATTATGGTCAGAGGAAATGCTATTGTGGTGAAGATCGCCTATCGACTTGGTCCGCTTGGTTTCTTAAGCGCCAAAGACGCCGCCTTGTCGGGCAACTTTGGACTGAAGGATCAGCGCTTGGCTCTGCGCTGGATCAAACAAAACATTGCCCGCTTCGGTGGAGATCCGGAGAATATACTCGTGCTGGGTCACTCAGCTGGTGGTGCCTCCGTGCATCTGCAGCTACTGCAAGAGGAGTTCAGCCAGCTGGCAAAGACGGCTTTTTCAATTAGTGGAAATGCACTCGATCCTTGGGTGGTGCAACCAGGTGCACGTCGACGCACCTTCGATTTGGGCCGCATTGTGGGCTGCGGCTTGCTAAGTGACTCTATTGAGCTCAAAAAGTGCCTTCAGTCGAAGGATGCGTCGCAAATAGTCACCGCAGTGCGTCAGTTCCTCGTCATTGATTATGTACCATTTACTCCCTTCGGCCCTGTGATAGAGTCCGTCGATGCAGCTGAACCTTTCCTCACTCAGCACCCCGTTGACATTATCAAGAGTGGAAAGTTTGCCCAATTGCCTTGGTTAGTATCGTACACCCAGGAGGATGGCACTTACAATGCTGCTCTTCTGGCGCAACAATCCAATGGAAGAGAGCTGATTGAGGAGCTGAACAGTCGCTGGTACGAGTTAGCACCCCATTTCCTGTTCTATCGTGACTCTAAGAAAACAATTGAGGAAATGGACGACTACTCGCGGGACCTGAGGCAAGAATATCTGGGAAATCGAAACTTTAGCTTGGAGAACTACTTGGATGTGCAGCGCATATTTACCGATGTGCTGTTCAGAAATGACACCATACGCTCTATAGAGCTGCATGCTAAGTATGGAAAGAGTCCAGTTTATGGCTATGTCTATGATAATCCCCCTGTTCGGGGCAGTGCCCAACAGCTAGCTAAGCGGGATGATATTTATTTTGGTGAGAAACGGATATATATATATAAAGTATTCCTTAACTGAATTCACTTGATATGCTTATAGGCACAGGACATGGCGATGATTATGTGCTCATATTCGACAAGCCAAACACTCAACTCCGTGCTGACGAGAAGATCATTTCCAAGAATTTAATTAGCATGCTGGAGGGATTTGTACAAAGCGACACTGGAGCCTTGACCTATGACAAGTGCGTGCTTCGAGATAATGTTGGCCAAAATATGCTCCAACTGCTTGACATCAAGAGCAACAGCTGTGAAAATATGGAAGTAAATCTTTTCCATTAGACAGCAAAAGTTTTATATTTAATAGTTGTTCGATTGATTTGTAGCGTTAAATGCACGCATATGCTGATAAATAGAATAATCTGTTCTGTTCTACTTATTCTTATACCCTGAACTCATGAAAAATGGGTATGATATTTTCGTGCAAATGTTTGTGGCAGGCAGAAGGCAACCATGACCGTCCGTCCGTCCATCTTTTTGTACATGCCATGTAAGTGTAAGCGAAAACTACAAAAACTATAGTTTCTTTATTGTAAAATATATTTTCTTATGTTTAAGCAGAACAAGTTTATAGTAACTGTCGATCTTAAGATATGACATGGGTTTGGGGTATCTTCTAATCGGGCACTCCCGACCCCAGCACACTTACTTATCAGTGTCCATGTTAAAACTCAATCGCTCTGCGTGATGCGAGCGCAGATAATGAGTATCAATAAAATTAGAGAGTCGAATCGTGAAGAAAAATAATACAGCTCAGTGGATTGTCTCCGCTGAGAACAGTTTAAACTAAGACTCGGCAGGGTGCAGGTCATGACTGATAAGTCGATTCGCATCGCATTGCTCTGTCTGGGGGCAGCAGCTACCTTTGCTGATCCGCTGCTGGTGGAGCTGCCGCATGGAAGGCTACGTGGACGCGATAATAAAGGATACTACAGCTACGAGTCGATACCCTATGCGGAGCCACCTGTGGGGGAACTGCGCTTCGAGGCACCACAGCCATATACCCAGCAGTGGAAGGAGACCACCTTTGATGCCAGTCAACCACCTGTGCTCTGCATGCAATGGAGCCAGTTCATCAAACAGGCAGATAAGCTGACGGGCAGTGAGGATTGTCTAACTGTCAGCGTATACAGACCAAAGAGCTCCACTCGCAGCACGTTTTCAGTTATTGTGCTAATACATGGCGGCTGCTTCATGTTTGGTGGTGCTGCGGAAAACGGACACGAGCCGCTCATGGCCAGCGGCAATGTGATTGTGGTTAAGATCAGCTATCGGCTGGGACCACTGGGTTTTGTTAGCACCGGCGACGGCACTTTGCCGGGCAACTTTGGATTGAAAGATCAGCGTCTGGCCTTGCATTGGATCAAGCAAAATATTGCTCGCTTCGGTGGAGAGCCGGAAAATATACTTGTTCTTGGCTTCTCCTCAGGCGCTGCCGCGGTGCATTTGCAGCTGCTGCAAGAGGAATTTAAGCAGCTCGCCAAGGTGGCTGTGTCCATTAGCGGAAATGCCCTGAATCCTTGGATTGTGCTTAAAAGTGGACGTAGACGTGCGTTTGAGCTGGGTCGCATGGTGGGCTGTGGCCTTCTAAGTGACTCTGCTGAGCTCAAAAAGTGTCTGAAAACTAAGGATGCAGCGCAACTAGTCAAAGCTGTGCGTGAATTCCTGGTATTTGACTATGTGCCCTTTACTCCCTTCGGCCCTGTGGTAGAGTCCGTTGATGCTGCTGAACCTTTCCTCACTCAACATCCCACTGACATTATCAAGAGTGGAAAGTTTGCCCAAGTGCCTTGGCTAGTATCATACACCCAGGAGGATGGCACTTACAATGCTGCCCTTCTACTGGCTAAGCAATCAAATGGAAGAGAGCTGATTGAGGAACTGAACAGTCGCTGGTATGAGCTGGCACCCCATTTACTGTTCTATCGCGACTCTAAGAAAACAATTGAGGATATGGACGACTACTCGCGGGACCTGAGGCAAGAATATCTGGGTAATCGAAACTTTAGCTTGGAGAACTACTTGAATGTGCAACGCATGTTTACGGACGTATTATTCAGAAATGATACAATACGCTCTATAGAGCTGCATGGGAAGTACGGAAAGAGTCCAGTTTATGGCTACGTCTACGATAATCCCGCTAATCAAGGCAGTGGATATTGGCTGTCAAAACGAAACAATGTTTCTTTTGGTATGAATTTGATTGATATGAACTACTGTGGCCGTAACTAATGTTCTCTTATCTAATTATAGGCTCAGGGCATTGGGATGATTTCTTTCTAATATTTGACAATCCCGTTCGCCACCCTCTGCGCTCAGACGAGAAAATTATTTCCAGGAACCTGATAAGAATGATGGAGAGCTTTGTGCAAAGCGACAATGGGACTTTGACTTATGACAATTGTGTTTTGCGAGATAATGTGGACCAAGAGCAGCTGAAATTGCTTTCAATCAAACGTAACAGCTGCGAGGTGCTTCAAGTGAGATAGTTCCTTTAAAGTCTGCTCAATTAGCTTGCACGCCTTAAATCAAACCTATATAATTGCCTCTTGATCAGTATTTAATTTATGTAATTAGATACAATTAATATGACATTTATAATGGTCGTTGAACTCATTCCATTTTGGCTTGAAATGCTTTTGCATTGATTTCACAACCTTTCCCAAATAACCTGAAATTCGATATGTAAGCTTTTGGGCAAATTAGAATACTGGTTATTCATTACTTTAAAATAAAGACGCGTGTCTGTTAAGATGAGCCCATAATGCAATTTTAAATCAATTATAAGTTCTATATCTGAGTAAGTCAAAGGCCCGCCAACCCCATCCAGTTCAAGTTCAAATCGGAAAGACTTTCATTTTATACAAATAACGTTCCTTGCCGTCGTCTATCTTAGTCGCAATCGGGATCTGCTTAAGTACGGATCATGTGCTGCGTTGGGTTCCTCTTGGTGCTGTGTCTTGTTGGGGTAGTGTCCGCCACGGATCAACTGCTGGTGGAACTGCCATGTGGTAAATTGCGTGGACGGGATAACGAACGGTATTATAGCTATGAGTCGATACCCTATGCGGAGCCACCTGTGGGTGAGCTGCGCTTCGAGGCACCAATACCATACACCCAGCGCTGGAAGCAAATTTACGATGCGAGCAAACCTCCCGAGAACTGCATGGAGTGGAGTCAGTTAGTTCAGCAATCGGACAAACTTCGCGGTGTAGAAGACTGTCTGACTGTGAGCGTGTAAGCCCAAGAACTCCAGTCGCAAAAGCTTTCCAGTTTTGGTGGATATATATGGCGGAGGCTTCATGTTTAAAGCGTCGTCCGAGGGAATACACGAGCGACTTATGGACACAGGAAATTTTATTATGGTAAAGCTTAACTATAGAGTGGGACCATTGGGATTTGCAAGTTCCGAAGATGGCGCTATATCAGGCAACTTCGGACTAAAGGACCAGCGTCTGGCATTACGCTGGATTAGGAAACACATTGATCGTTTTGGTGGCGAGCCAGAGAATATACTTGTCCTAGGTCTTTCTGCTGGAGGTGCTTCCGTGCATTTGCAGCTACTGCAAGAGGATTTCAACCAGCTGGTAAAGGCAGCTTTTTCGCTTAGTGGAAATGCATTGAATCCCTGGGTGGTGCAACAAGGTGCACGGCGACGTGCCTTTGAACTGGGTCGCATTGTGGGTTGCGGCTTGCTAAGTGATTCTGTTGAGCTCAGAAAGTGCCTCAAGTCAAAGGATGCATCGCAAATAGTCAGTGCTGTGCATCAGTTCCTCGTGTTTGACTATGACCCTTTTACGCCCTTCGGCCCTGTAATAGAGTCCGTCGATGCGGCTGAGCCTTTCCTTACTCAACATCCTATCGACATTATCAAGAGTGGAAAGCTTGGACAAGTGCCTTGGTTAGCCGCCAACACGCACGAAGATGGCACTTACAATGCTGCTCTGCTTATGAAAAAGCAAGCCAATGGAAGAGAGCTGATTGAGGAGTTGAATAGTCGCTGGTTCGAGTTGGCGCCCCATTTTCTGTTCTATCGGGACTCCAAGGAAACGCTTGAGGAAATGGATGACTACTCACGGAACCTCAGACAAGAATATCTGGGTAATCGCAATTTCAGCTTGGAGAGTTACTTGGATGTACAGCGCATATTTACGGATGTGCTGTTCAGAAATGATACCATACGCTCCATAGAGCTGCATGGTAAGTACGGAAAGAGTCCGGTTTATGGCTACGTCTATGATAATCCCGCTAATCAGGGAACTGGAAATTTTCTGTCACAGCGAAGTGATTTCAATTTTGGTAAGGGACATATAAATATTTTGTGCTTCAACTTTAACCAACCTAATTATAGGCACGGGGCATGGCGATGATTACTTTCTAATCCTTAACAGTCAAATCGGTACACCTCTGCGCTCCGACGAACAAGTTATTTCAAGGAATTTGATGAATATGCTTGAGGGTTTTGTTCGAAGCGAAAATGGTATTTTGGTCTATGACAACTGCGTGTTCCCAGACAACGCGAAGCAAGAGAAGCTACAATTGGTCTCCATAACTAGCAGTGGGTGCGAGGTGTTACAAGTGAATGCGATTCCTTAGACACACATCTCAAAAGGAACTATTGCGAATAAATATAGAAATACTGGCGCGTATAGCACGAGGCACGTATAAAATAAATGTTCTCATATAGCTTTGAAAATTATTTCTAAACTAATCGTACGGTAAATAAGCATAGTTCATACAAACGTTTTCAGCGAATTTACCACTGTTCAGGGTGGAATTCCCCAAAACGCTAAAACACGTATTTATTAAGTTTCGATGTATAGCTTTAAAAATAATTTTGAAGCAAATCGGAAAAAAATTAAAATATCACCTAAAAAATTATGAATTGCTTTTCTTAACGAGGATGCTTTGATTCTGCGAAAAAATGTGAAACACATCTCAAATGATTTTTCTTATAGATCCTTGAAAATGAATTTGAGCGCGAAACGTCATCCACCAAATCTTTGTCCCCCAGTTCCACCAAGGAGGAATACATTTTTGGAAAAGTGTGAAACACCCCTTAAATGAATTTGAACAAAGAACTTTGAAATTGATTTTATGGGCGATCGGATGGTAAACAAAAAAGTTTCATACAAACGTTTTTCACGATTTTTCCATACTTGCGTCTTCCGTCTTAACCTGCACCATCATTACATAAGCTTCCTAGCTGTTACGGTTTGGGCTATGCGTTGATCACCAATAAGTCAATCAGTAAGTCAAGACAAAAACTTTTATATATAGAGATAACTAACATTTGCTACTGGATTATGCCTGCCAATATTATGCCAATATTTTGAATAGGTTATATTAGAAGGCGGAGGTACTGAATATCTAATATAATCAAAATTTGTTTCGAGATTTGCAATCAGATTCTATAAAAGAAGCATTTGTTGCTGTCATCTGACATAGTTCGGCCTGGTAGAATATCTCTTAGTTATTTGGGGTCTAGTTGCCGCCTTGAATGCTGGTGGAACTGTGAAGGCGTATCGAATCCTTGGAGCGAATCCTTATAGTGCTACGAAGTCTTAGATGGGGCAAAACAGCCTGGTATATGCATTCAGTAGAGTCAACTAGTTGATCAACCGGACAAGCTGTTTAGATTAAGGGAGTGAATGCGGGTGTGGATAAGCGAATCGCATTGAGATACAATTTATGAGCATGTGAAAATAGTTCTTTCTGTGGTGTGTGCTATTTTTACTACTAATAGGTTCAAGCCTGGCCGAAGACGATGCGCTTCAGCGAGAAGATGCTCTCACATATGTATACTCGAGTTATTTATAAAGAGCAACGTCGGTATTCTCGTTTCGCAACAATGTTGGCCAATAGAAAAATCAAATTGTTTAGATTGGCCGACAGAGCTGTTAAATATCTTAAGGTCTTGAATCAAGTAACTCCGGGTTGATACATTTTCAAATTGTATTCAGTATTTCGTGATGCTCAGGGTTTTGCACCGCAGACTTCATATAACGCCTTGATGAATGACTTAAAAAATACTTAGCAGTCATTATTAGATTATAAATAAATGATTGCGAATGACGAAAAACCGGTTCTCAGACACGGGTCAGCGAGCCAAGTTAATTTATGTGTGTGTAGATTGTAGACTCTTTATATAGATATATCTGTGCAATCAGTTTAATTGCAGCTGTCATCTCACGAATTTCAGTTTTATTCATTTGCAGTTTTTTTCTTTTTTAAGCACTGCGCCTTTTTATACCCTGAACCCATTAAAAATGGGTATAAGGGTATATTGTATTTGTTCAAAATCCAAATGTATATAGCAGGCAGAAGTAAGCTTCTCCGACCCCATAAAGTATATATATTCTTGAACAGCATCAATAGCCGAGTCGATCTAGCCATGTCCGCCTGTCTGTCCGTCCGTCCGTTTGTATGAACGCAAGGATCTCAGAACCTATAAGAGCTAGAGACTTGAAATTTTAGATGTAGGTGCTCCTAGTTCCCGCGCAGATCGAGTTTGTTTCCGATAATCGATAACTTCCTCCGTTTTCAAGCAATCGATAAAAATCGATATCGACATCCTGTTTTTTTTAGCAAATTGGGTAAATAATAAGAGCTAGAGCCACCAAACATGATATGTTGCTTCTAGAATATTATAGATATATCAAGAATCTTTCATTTCATACCTATCGCCACCTCCCCGCTACCAGAATACACAAATATTCTATGGTACAAGAAGATATACTGTAGAAAATTTCATAAAGAACGGTTAAGAAAATCCAAAGTTATAGCAACTGCGCAATTGAATGGGGCAGCAGCTTTAAGAATTTCTGTATACATGTACACACACACATTCATGGGCGTCTGCTTCCCATTCTAATAGCAAGGTAATCGCATCTTTTTTTTGTAATGTTATTTTAGTTCCTTTTTTTATCACAAGTACTTAATTGTTGGTGTGGCTGTTGAGTAGAGGCATACCAAGTGGTGCGGTCTGTCGCGAGTTCAAGCCCCTGCCAAGGGAACTTTTTTTTATTAATTTGTTTGGTGTTGGAATAAGAGGGTTCAGGGTATCCCCTAGTCGGGAGCTTCCGACTAGAACCTCTTACTTGTTCTACCTATTTTAATCTTTTGCAACTCCTGAGTGCTGCCTGCTACTTTCCTTAGAGCTCACATAGTTTTTCCCAGCACGGCTGCCACATGCATTTCGTTTTAAGCGGCTTTCAAGTTTCTCGTTTGTGGTTCGTTGTGCCTACTTTGCGAATTCAGGTTTCTTGTTTTGTAGATTTATGCTATTACTAGGAGCACGAGGAATAAACTACGTGAATGCAGATTCCAAATATACAAAGCACGCACGGCAAATTAAAACAAGTAAGAGGTTCTAGGCGGGAGCTCCCGACTAGGGTATACCTTGAACCCTCTTCTTCCAACATCAAATGCATATATATATTCTATTTTAGAAGCTATATGTCAAGTTTGGTGACTCTAGCTTTTATTATTTACCAAAATTACCACAAAAAACAGGATATCGATATCGATTTTTATCGATTGCTTGGAAACGGAACAAGTTATCGATTATCGGAAACAAACTCGATCTGCGGGGGAACTAGGAGCATCTTCACCTAATTAATTTCACCTAATTTTAAGTCTCTAGCTCTTATAGGTTCTGGTCCGGACGGACGGACGGACAGACAGACGGACATGGCTAGATCGACTCGGCTATTGGTGCTGATCAAGAATATATATACTT